GTTTTATCCACTTTAGTCCGTTGCTTACAATTAAGCTGGGAATTATAGAAGGAAGGTAAGTAATGGGGATAGGGATGGGAGTATGATAAACAGGTGGCAAAGAAAGAAGGGTGGTGCCAACAGTAGCGTGTTTTCCTTTTTTCGCCCTGCTGTATGCAGCAGATAAGGCGACCCTTGATAATCTGCGCGACGGCCGATGCAGGATGAAATTTATGTGTGAAGAAAAGCCATGGTTTATGTGAGCTGAGATATTGCCAGGGCGCCCAGACCTAGACAGGAGAACGATTAGTGTCCTCATCCAAAGCTTTTGGCTCAAAAGCCTGTCCATAAGGCAGCGGGGAGGTGGCAATGATTTAGTATTACAGAAATGGACGCCATCCCATTTCAAAGCCCCAAGCTGGAGGACCAGGAGACTGAGTATGTCTGACCTCTCACCATTGACCAACCTGGTAGGAGTAGCTCTTTAGGGGCCTTGGGGCACCATCCAGTATAGCACAATGGGTCAAGGAGGTACGCAAACCGTCGCACCACGTTAAGGTCCAGTCTCGTTGCGACGGGATGCACTCTCACACACCTTGGTCACACTGGGAATGGATGTGTGTCTCCGAAACTAGGGTCAATGACCCTAACTTCACCCGGCTTATCCTCTCGTTATTGTTTGCACGCATCCGGAGACTCCGATGCAGCACTCACAGGTGAAGATGGTGTAGGTATCATTCTCATCTCCAAGGCTGAGCCCTCCTTGGTTGATTAGATTCCGGTGAACAGTCGTTTGTGTGCAGCCCGTTTGACGATATCAGCTAGGGATTATTCACGAATTAGTACAAAACACTGTCTGTCTGTAATTTCCGCTTATGCGCCCACCGACTGCAGTCCAAATGCGGACATATTCTATCACGAACTGAACGCGCTACTACGCAGTGCTACTAGTTCAGATATTATAGTACTTGCAGGAGATATGAACGCACAAGTAGGTCTTCTGAGCTCTTCAGAAGTTCAGCTGGGTCGTAATTATGTGTTTAACTCCGAATGGACTGACAACGGTGAGCGTCTGCTGCAACTGTGTGCGGAGCATCAGTTGTTTCTTAGTGGTACTGCTTTTAGACACAGTAGGCGCCGAAGTGCCTCTTTGCCTCCTCCTGTAGCTGGCCAGCAATGGACCCAAATACATTACATTGCCATAAGTTACAGGTGGCATGGTTCCATCCTGGATTGTCTCTCGTTCTGGAGTACTTGCGTTGAATCTGATCATGCCTTGGTGCGCTGTCGCTTTTCCATGAACTTTACCTGGAGGCGTACCAAGCGTCTCTCCCGACTGGCAACTGATAAATTATCTCAGCCCTCGGTCAGGCAAGCCTATCAAGACGCGCTGCGTACCAAATTTCCCCTGTCTTTTCCTAATGACACTGAGCTTTAGTGGAATAATGATCTCGACCGCCATATACGATGCAGGAGCATCTGCTTGTGGTGCTATCAATCGTCACTGCACCAGCCACTAGATATCCGAGAAGTTGGTGGACCTGTTGGAATCCAGAAGAAACCTCCTGACTGCCACTGAGCACAATGTGGCCTGACTGGCTATTAGGCGCGAACTAAAGCGGAGCCTACGTGTTGAGAAGGAAGCCTGGTGGACCAGTCGGGCTTGTGAAATGGAGGAGGAGGAGCAGTAGGGAATTGCCACAAGCTCTTCCAACCGATTCACATCACTGGTTCTACGAAACCAGGTATCAGTGAGACAACTAGAGACAGCGCGGGTGTACTGATACACAATAAAGAGCGTCGTATGGCTCGTTGGGCGGAACGTTTTCATGATTGCTTCAGCTGGCCCATGTTCCCGGGCCTTTTCCTCTTCGGATGCTGCTGGACGGGTTATGGACAGTTAGTTTAGAGCCTCCGTCGGAGGCGGAGTTCCGAAGCGCGATCACATCACCTAGTCGTTTTCGTGCTGTTGGTCTGGATTCCCTCCCCCCTGCACTATTTAAGGATGGTGGTGGGGTCCTCTGCAAAACACTGACCTCCCTACTCGAACTTATCTGGAAGAAAGAGATTGTCCCGGATAACTAGAGTGAATCGATTATCGTGGCAATATGCAGTCGTACAGACTGTTCTAACCACAGGGATATTAGCCAAATGCCAGTTGTGACAAAATTACTGACCTCGATTCTCGTTCGTCGCCTCATTGTGGAACGGGAATCTCGGATTAGGGTAGAGCAAACAAGTTTCCGTCCAGGACGTGGCTTTATAGACCATATGTTCACTCTGCGACAGATGCAAGAGCAGTGCCAATGATACTGCAGGCCGACAATAGCTGTGTTCTTCGATTTAAGGAGTGCGTTCCATTTTGTCGATCGATACATTCTGTTCGAAATACTTGCGCGGAAAGGTGTTCCCACGAAATGTGTGAACATCCTATGTGCTCTATACTTGAACACTACAAGCCGCGTCAGGGTCTACCTTGATGTGTCGGATAGCTTTCCGACAACAAGTGGCGTTCGTCAGGGTTGTCCGATTTCCCCATTTTGTTCAATTTCGTTGTGAACTCAACCCTGGAGTATTCCCTTGCGTTATCTCTCAATGTAGGCTTTGAGGTCCTGCCTGGTGCAAGGTTAGTTGACCTTGATTATGCGGACAATGTCCTCTTTCTTTTCGATGATGTTGCGGAGGCACAATCAACCCTGATAGGCTGTCTAGAGTGTTCCCATTATTTCGAATGCGCTTCGCACCTTCAAAGTGCAGTGTTGCTACAGGACCACCAGTCACTTGATGACCCCTTGACATTTGCTAACGTGGAACTCGAAGTGGTTGATCAATTCACTTACCTTGGCAATTGCATCAGCAATGATGGACGCATACAACCTGTAGTCCATTCACGCATTGCAATAGCCAGAATCTGCGGCATCTTTGGCGACAGAAGGGAGTTTCCCTCCGTCTGAAAGGCCGTGTATACAAGACTACGGTGAGGGCCTTCCTGCTCTATGGCGGTGAAACTTGGCCCCTTCGGTCAGAAAATCTGAGGCGCCTTCAAGTCTTTAATCAACATTGTCTGCGAAGCAGTGCTGGTCTCGGATGGCACCAGCGTGTCCGCAACGTTGATTTACGTAGGCGAGTACTAGGTAGTGATAGTCATGCTAGCTCCCTAGAACAACAGATAGCACTGAATAAGTTGCGTTGGCTTGAGTACGTGCTACGTATACTTGGTCACCGCTTACTTAAGAGGACCTTGTTTAGTCTGCCAAATGTAGGGTGTGGCGAGGCTCGAGGTGGACAAATATTGACTTAACTGCGGGAAATGAAGTCACTGACGACCAAACTCGGTGCCGTCGGTCCGTCTCGACTTCCGGGCTGGAGTCCACGTGACCCGCCTTGTGCTTGGTTCGAGAGTTTACAGGGCATGGCTCGCAGTGGATACCAGTGGCGCGTCTGCTGCCGTCTCTTCTCACTAGACGCAATTCCAAAATTGACACTTTACTGCTCCACAAAACTTATAGCCCAACCGAAGGAAAAAGCAAAACGCCAATGACCTTGACAAATAACGTATTAATCGTTGCTAATAAACACTGTACAACTACTGTGGACCTTGGCTGTATTTATAGGTCTCTTACTGACCTTCGACTTCTAGAATTGGAAGGTCAGCCACCAAGGTTAGTGGTTCCCCATATCTTTTGCCGAGGTGTCAGTTGGCTTTTAGTCACGTGCAGAACTAAAACATTCCGGTACGTTCGAAATCGATGCGATAATCGATTAATCACGAAAACAGTGGATTTCATAGGTAACTCACTTTCTCCCGGACATATTGCCTGTTTAGAATGTGTTTGATGCTGAGTTATCTGCGGGATAATTGCTGATTATGACGCGTGGCAGCGAAACCCGCAAAGAAGCTGTCTCGCTGATGCCGCCTTATCTTTGCACGATAGCCAGCTGTTTGGGATGTTATGTTGTTGACAAAATGTAGGCGCCGTGACCCTGAATGTTTGCTTAGGTCATTAACGTTTTCAGGTAAGTCCCCCTTCTCTCCCTCTTAGTATTCTTTATTCCATACGCCATCATGGTTGTACGGCAGCGAAGCATCAGTTCAGGTGGCTGATGCACTGCTGTTGTTGATTGACTGATGAACTTTAGTCCGATCATCGACATGCAATGGATCCTGTACCCTTGGTGCACGTCACCGAAACACCCACAGTAAAATCACAATTATGAGGACTTGGCCAGAGCTGAACTTGCTATGCACGGTGCTGAAATGTTCGAAGTGAGGGAGCGAGTGCAGGAGCCCTACTGACCTCGTGACCTTACCACTTCCTACAAATTATTTAACCGATGCTGTGGATGGTCCGCACGGCTCACTGTAGTCACGTGTACTTGAGCTACAACCGTTTTCAAGACTGCATATAGCTGACATCGAACAAACCTCGGTGCCATTCTTCAGTCACACCGCTCATCTGAACTTGCTCCTCAGTCCTTTGTGGATCTGACTATTGTATCAAGGACTCCAACTGGAGTTCTCCAGGCTTGCTTTTATTCATCTTGAAGCATCAAATTATTGGCAGTTATTGTCAATACTCATAGCTCATCATGTTCGATTTTCTCCAAATGTTTTCTCTGGAAGTTGCACTTCTACTTAATCTGGCTATTGAGTTACCGTATACAAGTCACTCAACTAAACGCTTTCGTGGGTGCTCTCAAACAAAGCGCTTTAGTAGAACGGACGTTTAATAATTACGCACATCATACGATCACCCTACTAGCGAAATTCTCTTGGTTCTCTTCAAATATACTCGATCACCGAGACAGAGATCACCTCTGAACTCACTAGTCACATTGGCAGATGGGCTAGGTTGTCTTTAAAACCTATGGTGATACTACCTATTTTGTCTCTTGACATTCGCGCATTACTAAGTCTGTCGGCAACTGACACTTTCTATGATTATACACATGCACAAAACGAAGCGTTATAATGCATGTGCATTTAAGCTTCTTGTTCCAATGGTGTTCTTAGGTATTTCATGGATCGCGTGTTTGCTCCGTCAGAGTCGCCCTCAGCAGACGTACAGAAGCTGCAACAGAAGGAGTGTACTTCATCTCTGTCAGTTCTTGCTCAAATGTGTTTTTCATTTTCTTTTCTCAGAGCTTCTCTACCCGCTAAGGCTCCGAAATCCGACTTCAACGTCTGGTCGTTTCTGAAACAGTGCATAGGAAAGGTATGCTTGCTACTTGCATTTTATGGTATATTTTGTTTAGTACGTTAAACTGTCCTCGCGCTTTGTTCTACGCTGCAGCTTTTCGTACATCTGCATCTCATTCGGCTTAGTTTAATTTGTCTTACCAGCTGTCAACTGTGCGCGCCTAGGTTCATTGGATTCAGTTGCCCTGATGTATGCTGCCCAAATAATAACAATACTGTTGACAGTAGCAATGCTGTTCCATGTGGCATGGACTCATTAGATGGAATTGTTGGGGGTTGGAGTGAAAGCGAGTGCAGGTGCCCGACCGACACCATCACTGAATCATCTCCCATAAATCTCTGATGTGACCCATCTAGGAGGTCGCATTCATCAACTGCCATTACCTTGCCGGCCCGTAACCCTAAAGATCGCAAGCCTGCCTTGTAATCTGAGGGCGCGGCTTCGAGCCTGCTCAGTGATCGGGTTTCCTGTAATAGGGCACAGTATTGACAACCAGTGTGCATCGAGACGTCCAGCTCGCTGGCATGCGGGACACATGATCTGTCATGCATTAAATAAGGAACCTCCACATTCCTCACTAAATTCTCCCACTAACTATAGATAGTTCTTCTCAGACAATATCTATCAGACTCACTCCTGCTCATTACTGCTCTGATGTACGCCGATGAACGAATGGATGAGCGGTGTAATCCAGAGGTGACCGTTTCGAATCTGTGCAGCTGCTCGCTACTTCGCAGAACACGCAGCGCACGCTCGAACTGTGGTGATTGCGAGGCAACGAAGCGTCGGTAAGGTGTGCCGTCTTACTGCTGAAGCCTGTCCTAAGCATGAGGCGGCGGTGTCTGATCCATACACAAACACTTGTCACGTTGTAGTATTGTAACTTCCCTCCCCTCCTTCCCCTCCTACCGTCTTCATAAGTGTCTGAAGTTTTGAAAAATCCTACAAGCCTTTGCAGTATTCGTTATGCGGTTACAAGAGGTGATACAAGTACTCGGATATGCAAACCAATCAAATGCTTCGAGGATTGGTGCTGATTCGCCCAGTCTCGTAACAGTACAGTGCATCTTGAAGGTGTTAAGCAAATGGCAATGCATGCGGCGCTTGCATAGTAGATTAGCTCACCCAAAGAGAACTTATCATCCCCATACTCTGGGTCCGACAATCGGTCACCAGGCAATATCTCTATCTCAGTTTAATTGGTGGAACGGGGTATTGTAACTAATACATGCTCTTTAGTATTAGGAATTAGCAAAAGAATGGCGAGTGATAAGAAAACTGACGTACTTCACTTATCTTGGCACTTCCCTTAGATCCATACACAGCCCCGACATTGGATTTCACATTAGAAAGAATCTTCTCGAGCATTTCATTTAAGGCCAGTCATCATCACCTACAGACACGGTTGACGGATTCTGAGGCTGTCTTCAATACAAGGAATACCATCGTGATAGTTGTTTGTGTCTTTGACCACCATCATCAATCATCATCATCATCCGAACTGGGCAGCCCGGATGGCAGCGTTGAGGATGTGCGGAAATTACTCGCGAGTCTTGACGGTACCAAGCCTGTCGGGCCTGATGGGCTCCATCCGTTGATCCTCAGATCGCTATCGGCCATCATCTCGCCTTCGGTGATTGAGCCTTTCAACAGTCGCTGTCCGCCAGTCCATTGCCGAGCGACTGGAAATGCTCAGTGGTGAAACCGATTCCGAGCAAGGTGGAGAACTACCGACCGATATACCTGTCCTCTGTTTTGGCTAAGACACTCGAGAAAGTCATGAAATGTGGTCTTCGGCAGCATCTTGAGTCGAAAAGCATCTTGACTCCCGCGCAGCACGATTTCATGGAAGGTTGGTCATGCATCACAAAGCTGCTGCTCTCGTGGCACGAATAGTTACAAGCGCTAAACCAAGAGAAGTCGGTTGACGTTATTTACATCGACTTCAGCAAAGCGATCGATAAGGTTACGCATGAGATCCTCCTTCGGAAGCTGAAGATGTACGGTGTTTGTGGCTCACTGCACCAGTGGTTCAGTGACATCCTTATTCGTAGGACGTGTAGGGTGCAGGTGGACAACTACTTGACCAGGTGGTATGCTCGACCAGTGGTGCCCCACAGGGCAAAGTCCTTGGGCACATTTTGTTCCTGATCCACATCAACGATTTGTTTCTCCGTTCACCTTGCGCGTTGTTTGCAGATGACCTTAAGGTATGGAGGGTAATTGAGGCGCCCGATGACTGCGTCCGCCTTCAACATGACCTTGGCCACCTCTCCATGTGGTCAGTCGAGGTCAACCTTCCGATCAACCCGGTCAAGTCGGTATTCATGAGCCTGGGCAAGAGTGGTAGTGGCCGAGTCTACAATCTGACCGGCTAACAGTTGCACCCATCGCCTTGCGATTTTCAATCCGTTGAAAACACTAATGGGCTTTACGAAAACGGACTGCGAATGCTCTGGGTGCTCAATCGCAGCTTTTGCACTTGGTCCGAAGAGGTTGCCATTCGCCTCTTTTCTTCTATTATCAGACCAGTGCTAGAGTACAGCTCATCCGCCTACTGTCCGCTCACTCGGGGCGAGGTGCAAAACATTGAGCGGGTACCGCATGTGGGCACAAGCCTCTTCATCGGTTTACGAGGTGTGCCATAAGAAGACAAGTGCAAGAGACTAGGGTTGTACACCCTGTCTTATCGTCAAATGCTGGTTGACCTCATAATAACGCACCCGGATATTACATCTGGGTGATTACCCCATGTTGAGGTCGCTGCTTTGTCTGCGCACACCAAGCAGCACACGAGGACACCGGTTCAAGCTTGTCGTACTGGATTTGAAGCAGGTCGCTCACCAACTGCTTCTAGCGGAGGGTGATGAATATTTGATACAACTTGCCTACAGATATAGTCGAAGCAAAGTCGATGGCGGAGTTTGAGAAACTCTTGGACTTTCACTTCCCATACTTAAGATTTCGAACATAATCACCATCATAAGAGGTAGATTTGCTTGAAAAATATTAGATGCAGCTACACGGAGGCATCTCTACTCGCTGCATTTTCTCTCAGTATTCAGTATTCATCATCATTGTAAAGTCCAAAAGGAATTTTGATGTATCCCCAACCTGGATCGCTTACATGAGGACACGGTATCTCTATTCCCTGATGATTCTGCTCATTTTACATTGTCTTACTGTGTCCTACAATCCGTTACCATATCGTATATTTATTCCTTTCACTCGACCACTGACATATGCTTGACGTTTCAAGGCCATTCGTATTATTATGTTAATGTGACACTGCCCAAATACTCGCACCCCACCGCACGCTGTACAATTTCTGCCCTCTTGCACTACGATTACAAAACCTATTCGTAAGTCATGTACCGTATGTAATTTGCCTTATAGAACCACGGTTACAGGATAATTCGTTTTATTCTTCCGCCCAGACCGTGCGTTAAGTCTAGGTTTATTTGTTCATAGATTTTTGTTTTGTTTTCATACGACGTAATTAGTTTAGGCTTCATATCGTTGGTACAATTATTATTATTATTATTGTCACCCGGGGCGAGGTAGACAAAATTGAGCGAGTGCAGCATGTAGCCCCCAGTCTGATTCCCAACTTACGAGGTGTGCCGTACGAAGACCGGTGTAAGAAACTAGGGTTGTACACCCTAGCTTATCGTCGAATGCGGGTTGACCTCATCATGACGCACCGGATATTACATCGGTGATTACCCTACGTTAGGAGCACTGCTTCATCTGCGCACACCAAGCAGCACACGAGGACACCGTTATAAGCTTGTCGTACCGGATTTGAAGCGGGTCGCTCACCAACTGGATTTCGAACACAGAGTGGTGAATGTATGGAACGGCCTGCCGCAGCACGTAGTTGAGGTAAAGTCGGTGTCGGAATTTAAAAAGTTCTTGGATAAACACTTCGCCGACGCAAAGTATATTGAGCGCAACACAACACGTGTTTGCCCCTGAGTGATATTAGATGCAGCTACACAGAGCAAACTCTACTTGCTGCTTCCAGCCATATCTCATCATCATCATGATCGCCATCATCATCCTCATCAACATCATCATCATAAATCATTATCATCAGTTCGCTTTGGCTGTTTGTGAGAATGCATCTTAGCAATTCTGCCGCATCACAAAAAGGTGACATGTTTAATTTTGCAGACTACAATTACTATAAAGTCAATTAATATGCAACGTATCACATTCTGCTTTGGGTATGGAGGCTAAGGGGATGGTAGTGAATGTCACAACGCAAACGCGGTTGTGTTCGGCTACTTGCCATGCCAACTCATGTATTCAACCGGACGTCTTCTCCGTCCTTCGGATCTCAGCCAACAATCTGAAGTCAACGATCAACGCCAAGTTCTAAGATTTCTCATTCCCACTGAAGTCACTGCTTGGCTTCCCCTCCTCTTCCATCCAGCTTCCGGCCGCACAAACAACGCGCGTCGCGGGTGTCTGTGTGCTGGTGTACGCCACACATAGGCTGGTGCTTCATATAACGGTGCAGAGCGGTTCACTACTTTTTGTGCGATAAACAGGTCGACCCGTACCCTAAAGGTAACCAGCTGGTCTTGTAATCTGCCGGCGTGTGTTCGAGTCTGCCTAAGGGCAGAGCCACCCTCGTAATATCCTTAGCCCGCGTGCGATCGGTGGTGATTGCTCGGTAGGGAAGCGTCGCTACTGCTCGCCGGCCTACTACTGAATCCATTTTTCTTTCTTTCTGTTATGAACAAGGCGTCGAACACTCTCACTGCTCAAGTGCTGTCCTAACTATGACCTGATTGGCCAAGTTTCGCAACCATACAGGGGGATTGAACAGACGGCTACATTGTACGCTCTGTCTTTCAAGACGACAGTAATGTTATGCCAGCGCCACAGGTGGCGAAGATTGGCAAATCGCCTCGAGCTTTTGCTGTACAGTTCGTGGTCTTATCTTCAATTCCACGGGCGCTGATATAGCTGCCTTGATACTTGAATTTCTCGGCAACTTCTATAAGATCACCACCAAGGCTCACTGCTGAGATCGGTGACTGCTAATCTTGTTGAACTTTACATTTCGAGGGTGCAATGCATAGTCCAAAATGATTGACATCCAGTGCTAATCTTTTAAGTGTTTCTTGGCACGTTCGGGAGGTGTCACAGATAAGGGCGATGTGGATGGCATATTCCAGGTCTTGAAGTCGTTCACCTGGGAGCAGCTCCACAACTTGCAAGTCGTGTGCAGTGAATGCGGTTTCCATCCATTCGTTAATGGTAAAGTCAAAAAGGAAGAGTGACAGCGGGCAATCTTGTCTCACACCGCTGGACCTAATGAAGTGCGGCGGCAATTTGCCCGATCGACGCGCCTAAGGTACTCTTATGACATTTACGTATTACTCGGGCACACCTTTCCTGAGCAGACAGTCCCAAAGAGCACATCGATCTGCCGAATCGAAGGCACCTATGATGTCGAGGAACACGACAACGGTGGGTCGCTCGTAAATATGTCGGTGCTCCAGCAATTGACGTAGTGTGAATGTGTGGTAAATACGCCTCGCGCATATGACCTCGGGTCTATCCGTGTATGCATAACGACAAAATGTAAGTAGCTTAGATGTTATATTGATCAGGCTGATTCCTGTATGATTTCAGATGCAAAAGACGGCTAGACGAACAAGCTTGTTCTCAGTGGTTCCCATCAGGCCAGCACACCACAGAAGAGATGGATACTTTTGGATTTATTGACTCGGTGCAACAACTCGAGCTAGCTGGACGGAAGATGTTCTCGCTAGATGTGGCGTCACTTCTCACCAACGTTCCGTTAGATGGGACCGTTGACTATCTCTGAGTTTCTCCAATTGCACAGCATCAGCATCGGTATCCCAAATGACCATTTAAGGCAACTTATACTGGCCTGCACTAAAAACATCCCGTTTCAATTCAATGGGACGTTTTACCGGCAAACAAACCGAGTAACTATGCGTCCACCAAAACGCACCCGCAGATCGACACAAAGTTCGTGATCGGTGTTCAGGTCCTACTCCAAATTGAGCGATAGTTTTGAACACAGCCTCTCCAGCAATAAGTGGTCGCGATGTGTTCGATTTGTGTCCATGACTGGTTTGACGCTGGTGGTCGCTATGTCACTCTTCCAGGGGTGCTGTGCCAAAAATTACTGCTCACGAGAAATAGACGAGCATCTTCACACAGGTCTAGCAACTGCTCACCGTTATCATTACGGGAACCTATACCGGGTTGACCACTCACATAATGCTCATTAGTGGACAGTTTTCCCATTTGGGCTTTCAGATCTTCAGGCAGCTTCATAGTGTCCGCGCATTTACTGTAACATAGGAGCTCGTTCAATTGGTGATAGAAGTCGTCTTTCACCTAGTCAGCGCTGCGATTTGTGGGTGCGTAGACCGCAATGATAACCAAGCACCGTTTGTCCCCATGCGACTCCGAGGCCTTAACGAGCAAGCCAATCTGACGACGCGCATCCGGCGGTTCCTTGGGATCCAATCAATCAGAACAGCTTCAGCCCGGGTACTCAGCGCAGTATTAGCGCTTGTGTGAACTTATTTAAAGTGAAGTTGAAACTAGACAATAAGGATGAAAAGCGCAATTAGGGGAATAAGAAGACAAGGGCGCTTGAGGCTCCTTCTCGATGCAGAAGATAGAGTGCTGTTGATTATCCACTGCGGTGGGCATAGCATGATGTATTTGTTTGAGGCAACGCTGGTTGCGGAGTAAAGCTTTAGAGAACTCATCGATTCCAGGTGAGTGTCGTTACTGTTAAAAATGTGTGGATATTGCACGACAATAAATGACGCTATTCTTTGTGTGTCCCGATAATCTATCGATGAAGTAACACAGATATGTGTCTTCTAGCTCACTGTTGTCCGCATCTGGTACTTATTAGGTGGCGTTTGCACTGTGCCGTTTTTGCGCTCTGTGTCATGTCCTGTATTACTATTTAAAAGCTCCAAATTCGTTTGGGGCTCGAGCAACACGTAAAACTCCCTGATCAAATCAAAGGAGAGGCGAAAGTTGACTACGGTACCATTCATATATATATATATATATATATATATATATATATATATATATATATTCACACATTCATATATGCATATATATACATATCAAAAATGCAATACGGACATACCTCATCGATATCCGTTAAGTGCTGAAACAACCGGATGTGTACATGGTAGACACAGAAACAAGGATAGCACAGGTCATCGTACTTGCAACTGTGCAGCCAGATCACAAACTCCAGATTCCGCGAGCGTAATCCCATAGGCGTTTGTCTAGCATCTTCCGGGATGTGTGGTGGTTGTCCGGTTGATTCGAAGTGTGATGGATCTTTTCAATACAATAATTCCCTCTCATACTCATCAATAATCAGTATCGCCTTAGCAAATTACATGCCACTTCGATTGTTAGCGGCTTGCGCAGGAAGTCGTGACTCTGGAGGCCAGCCCTGTCCTCCGCACGTTCATAAGCTGCATGAGAGTGGGGGTGAGCCGTGCTATATCGCATGTAGGTATCAGTCATGACAGTCTGCTGCCTCACCCATGGCTCAGTAGCATTAGCTGGTGACTCTTAACAGTAAGGTCGTGGGTTCGAATCCGGCAAGATAGAACGGGTGTTCGATACTGACTGGTCCCAATAGGACGAAACGGCCGTCTAGCGCTTTCCTGGATGTGTGGTAGTCTTTTTTACTGTTTGTACTGTTTTCGGATCTTTGATCCTGTACTTCATAGTTTTGTTATATTCCGGCTATAATTTACTTGTGATTGTATTCTCTGAGGATATCGGTAATACTCTAGCATGAAATATCGGTCCTTCATTTCCACTGCACGCAACTAATGGAAATTTCAACTAGGCTACATATATCGCACTTTCTTTGTTCATAATCACCCGATTCGGTAACCATTATGTCCCCGTATCGCGTTCCGCCTCCCATTTGTGTCTTGAACGCTTTTCCAAAGGACCTCACCCGGATCTCCATGCCCGTTGCACTGAACGAGCCAATTAGTTTCCTGCAACGCGTTGCTGAGTACATGGAGTATTCGGAATTGTTGTTGGAAGCGTCCTCTCAACCGGATCCTGTTCGGCGGATGGAGGTAAGTATACTTTGTCACATCTGTTTCGCCTTCGGTCCTCGGATATGCATCTACCACAGATGATTGGCCTTTTACACCCAATGATACGCGCAGTTCTAGCATGAGTTCTCAGCGCTACTCGCACAATCCTCATCAATGTCCTAATGGTCTCTGCAGCACACTATTTTGCAACATTTCCACTGTTAATTTCATGAGTTTAAGGAGATGAATTGCTAGTCAAACACTTTGGGGAACAATACACACACTCCAAAGTGTGCAGCTCTCTCCGGGAGCGGGTACAAAACGAATCCTGATCACCTTTCAAAACTGCTATCCTCCAGCGGATAGCCATCTATACCGTACATAAATCCGTATTGTTGTACCACGGTTGTTCGCTTCCGTTGGTCCGTTCTTAATCTTCCTTTTGTGGCATAAGTTCCGTTTCATCGGTCAACGCATGGTTTCCATTCATTGTCACTCGGACTAAACCGATTCTGTCTCCACTGATGTCTGTCGCGCACCATAACTCCTTGCGTTTCCAACCGCTGGGAGCCCCAGTCTCGTGGTACCCATCCTGGAAGACAGACCGGTCCGACGGTTGCTAAGCTTGAGGTTACTCTCTTCATGCTCTTTCTTCACATCATTGAGTGTCCAACGCGGCACTACATACAATCTCATTCCATGTGTGCATTCAACAGTTTAATGAACGCCTCCTTGTTTTGTGATCACCATCATCATCAGACGAGACTGGACCTTAACGTGGTGCGATGGTTTGTGTGCCTCATTGACCCGTTGAGCTATGCTGGGTGGTGGTGTCTTTTTTGCAACTTCAGAGCCACTCATACCAGACTGGTCATTGGTTAGAGGCTAGACATATTAAGTCTTTTGGCTCTCCAGCTTGGGGTTTGAAGTGAAGGTGGCTCCTTACTCCCTAAAACGGGCTCTCTGTAGTTCAGGGCCGAAACCCCGCTGCCTTGCGGTAAGGTTTTTAAACCAAAGGCTTTGGTTAAGGACCCTAATAGTTCTCCTGTCTAAGCCTGGGCAACCTGAGAGTATTCTGCCCACGTAATACAATGAACTCTCCTAACCATTTCTTGATGATCTGGCCACCGCAGAGGATAATCCACGGTGCCCTATCTTCTGTATCGAGCAGGGTGGATAAGGGTTTGGGTGCTACTGCTCAGGCCTTCCCGTCTTTTTATTCCCTTTCTTGTGCTTTTTCATGTTTATCGTCCCGCTCCAAATTTACTTTTATCCCCCCCATTTTTAATCTCCCAAGGAGATGCCCCTGCCGAGCGCCTAGCCAAAAGTTTTTCAGCGGCAGTCGAGTCGACATTCCCAGCAGCCAGGTTAAAGTGTACATTTTCTACTGAACCACTTGTTTGTTCACGTAATAAGAATATGCTGCCATTGCTGACCTCATCTATGGTTATTTATCAGTTCAAGTGCGCTTGTGACGCTACTTATATTGGTCGAACGGCACGGCACTTGTCCAAAAGCGTGAAGGAGCACTGCCCGCGCTGACTGCGTCAAGAAGGAACTGGGGCCATTAGCAGCTCCGTTTTGGCACATATTGTCGACACGGGGCACCAAGTTGATTATTAAGCTTGCCTTCAGAATAATTTACAGGGTCCCCCAGCATCGATCAAGAGGTTTACTCCTCCGTGCGCTCGCGACAGCTGAATCGATTTGCGTTCGGTTGTTTCAATCTTCATTATGCTCGTAAAAGAACTTCCTCCATGCCTTACAGCTTCGCCAGCCAGTTAGAACGAACAATGCTGAGGTCAATTGCCACAGATCAAGCTCGGTGCCATGCAGTCGACCCGTCGGGTCAAAGGTCAACTTTTAACCTCCCTCACTGAACCGTTAATTAACTATGTAATTTGCGCCAACAAATCGATTCCAGTTCCTTATTTTACCCTTAAATCTGATTGTAATGGTCTGAAGAGAACCATCGAAAACAATTGTTCACATATGGTCTCGTGTTCTTTTTAAATCCCTCAGTTCTTGGCCCTACCGTACCTTGCTTCAATAGTCGCTTGTTTTCTAGTTTCAACTCACACACAGTCGCAGCGTGTCCCTCCAATCCCGTCGACAAGTCCATGTTCGGCCAAGGGGACAACGTCAGTTCATCCGTTTCCCTTCGGAGTTCTCCATTCTCGCTAAGACTGGCATGCCTCAACGTGCACATTTTGCTACAGACTGGCCAAAAGGCAACAGTTGCCCTAACACTCGAGACCCTATTGATCGATATTTACTGTTTATCAGAAACCCGCCTGCAAGATTCGAGCTCCGTGCATACCCTGCGATCACCCACATGCGACACTGGCAGCACATTTTCATTGCGCCTGTCTGGCGATGATGCAGCTTCAAATGCCAGTCGGCGTTCTTTTGGCCCCCGGGCTGAAACTGCCCTGATCGATTGGATCACCGTCAACAGTCGGATGTGCGCCGTTAGATTAGCTGGTTCATTCCATGCTACGAAGTCGCACGGGAACAAATGGTGCCTGTTTGTCTTTGCAGCCCACACCCCTACAAATTATAGTCCTGATTCGGTGAAAGACGATTTCTATCAGCAACTTCACGAGCTCCTTCGTTACAGAAGAAGCACGGAAACTGTGGTGTTGGCTGGCGATCTAAACGCCCAAGTCGGAAAATTGTCCACTGATGAGCTTCTTCTGGGCGGCTAACATGGTATAGGCTCCCGTAATGATAACGGTGAGCGTTTGCTACAGCTGTGTGAAGATGCTCGTCTCTTTCTCGCGAGCACAAAAGTTCGACACAACGCCCGCAGAAACCTGACTTGGCGCCCACTAGCCTCGGTCCAGGATTGGACGCAAATCGATCATATTGCGATCATTTAACGCTGCAGAGGCTGTGTCCAAAACTGTCGCTTGATTTGGAGCACGAGCATGGACTCTTATCACGCACTTGTTTCCGCCGACCTCCGGGTGCGTTTCGGTGGACGTCCGCAACGTCTATGTGAACCGATTGACACCAGCCAGCTGACGAAGCCAGGTGTTCTTAGTGTGTATTAAAGTGCGCTGACATCCGGGCTGAGTAAGCGCCCACTGAACACCGTCAAAGATCACTGGTTGCATATTCGTCAAACGTTACTATCTGCAGACATGTCTTCATGTGGTAAATCAAATTGCCAACGTGGACTTTGGGTCTCTGCACACTCTTGAACTTATGGATGCTCGCCGACGTATTCCGGCTGGAAGCGAATAAAACGAGACTCGCAAGAATCTCTGTGTAAAACTGCATGCTTCTCTGAAGAAAGACCGCAAAGCTTGGTGGTCTCACCGTGCCTTGGAGATAGAAACAGCCACTACCGTTGGCAATCATCATAAGTTGTTTCGTCTGATACGGGAAACAGGTAGCAGGAGACCTGGTGTTAGCTAGACCATACGCGACGAGAGTGGGAAGCCGATTCATAGCCTGTCAAAACGCTTGGAGTGTTGGGCCCAACACTTTGCAAGGCAATTTAACCAACGTGAATTATCGCTTTCTTTTTCGGGCATTGAGCGCCCTTCTCCCTGTGCCGTCTCATTGGATCCGCCCTCACGCGCAGAAGTCGAACGTGAGATCAGGCTGTTAAAATTGCTTAAGACCACACGAGTAGATAGAATTCCCCCATGCCTTTTCAAATTTGGGCGATCTGCTCTAGTAGATGATTTACACGAGTTGCTAGTGGAACTTTAGGAGCAGGAAACCTTCCCGACAGACGGGAACCGCTCCGTCATTGTCTCAATTTTCAAGCCATGCTCCTGTTTGGAATGCGGCAATCATAGAGGGATCAGTCTGATCTCAATTGCCTCTAAATTGCTTGCGTGTATCATTCTCCACAGACTGACTGGCACTCGTGAAAGCCTGATCTGTGAAGAGCAAGCCGAATTTCGTCGAGGTGGGGACTGCATTGACCACATCTTCACCTTGTGTCAATTGTTGGAGCACCGCCATGTTTATTGGCGACCCACTGTTTTCGTGTTTTTTGACATAAAAGGTGCCTTTGATTCAGTCGATCGATATGCCCTTTGGGACTGTCTGCTGAGGAAAGGCGTGCCTGCTAACTACGTAAACATTATCAAAGCGCTGTACGCGCATAGTTCGGGCAGAGTGAGAGTGTATGTCAAACTGTCTCCACCCTTCAGTATCACCAGCGGTGTGAGACAAGGTTGCCCGCTGTCACTTTTGTATTTAACTTCGCAGTTCACGAAGTCATGGCAACAGCATTCGCTGGACAAGACCTACAAGGTGTGTAGCTGCTTCCTGGTAAGCGACTTTTTGACTTGGAGTATACGGACGATATTGCCCTAATCTGTGACAGCTTCCAAACATTCCAAACAGCATTGGACCGATTAGCACTGGCTGTCTATCGTTTTGGGCTATGCTTTGCTCCATCGAAATGCGAAGTAATTCTCCAAGATTGACAGAGACTTGCCCCTGCACTAACGCTTTGTGGTGATCATCTAGAAGTCGTTCAGGTATTCAAGTACGTGGGCAGCTATATTAGCGCCCGTGGTATCGAAGATGAGATTACGAACCGTATAGCACGAGCTCGAGGTGCTTTTGCCAATCTCCGCCCTGAAGAGCAGAGTTTATAACGCAGCCGTCCGTTCTGGTTATGAAACCAGACCCGTCAGGTCTGCAGGCATCATCGCATGCGGCTCCTTTACCATCGGCCAATATTCATAGAACCGTCCAATTTTTCCGTATTTTTGGTTATACGTAGTTTTCACGGCGCGAAAATTGCATTGGTGGAACCGACCAACCCTATGTATGTTCATTTCGGTGAAATGAAGCGCAGGAATATAATGAGTTTAACGATCATCGTCGGTAAACTTCGAAAACTTGGACGGTGTGGATATCTCTATCTTATTCAGGACACGGTTCTTGTTCGAACATTTCAAAGGGATATCCGGTTTGTGCTCTACAAGGCACTGCTGCTACATGGCCAGATCGATACCTCACCACATCTAACGACCATCGAGCAACGGCTGTCAGAGATCACTCGGTTACTCTGACACTCGCAACGTCCAACTCATCGAAGAACTTCATTGGTGCGACTCACTAGATTCACAGCCGTCAACCGTGGTGTGGTTCCTGCAGTCTTTACTAAATTATCCAAGGCACACATAGTACTACATTATTTGCGATGTGAGCTCGGCTATAATCCAGGTAGTGAAGGCCGCGCTGAAGCTGTCTCACCGGTGCCATCTTATCCACGGATGTCGGTTGGCAAGGTGTGAGCGCTTGGACACAGAGTGTTCGCTTAGGCCATTCAAGCTTTGCGCTAATCATCGAATCACCGTTGCAAGGCAGTGATTCATGATTGTTACTCACAATGACTCGTGACCGTCTTAACCTTTTCTGCGGTTGTGGCGGGCCGTGTACTTCTGCTTAGAATCTCCAAGCCTACTGCGTGGCTGCGATTTCTCTGTTCATTCGTGCTACGGTTTTGGCCTGTCATGTCTCCCGAGGTTAAAAGCGAACGTCGCCAAATAGAATGTATTGATGAAAAGAGCACAAAGCTGGACAAGAAAGTAAAACCACACAGCAATCACAAACATTCGCTGGTAAAATTATCTTATCTATCTGGGAGCGTAATCCAACATCTTCCAATTTTTTACGCTTACAAGCGTTAAGAACAACCTTTTTTGCACTACAGATCCGCGATTGTGCCGGATGGTAAGAACGCACTGTTCCGACACATGCACCTGCACTTTTGTAATCAATTGTACGCACTTATTTTTGCTCGCAACGCTTCCGACGCGTGTTTGAGTCTCAGCTCCATCTAGAGTTTCAGCGTTTTTCCGTTGTCACAGTGCCCGCGCGGTCGCTTGCGTATGCACGGTAGCGAAACATCAGTGCTCTGCGCGGATGTACTAAGGACACCTTATATGGGCCACTACAATTAGTTTTGTGCGCTGTCTATTTGTTTCGATTTGTACATACGTTGCTTTTGGCTTTAAACCACCTTCTCTCACTCTCTCCCTCACCATGGTAGTCCGTTTGCGCGTTTGCTGTTTCTGCAACCTCCTCAAACTTCAACCGAATCGGCAAGCCGTTCAATCCCTTGTTGGGTGAAACGTATGAGCTGCATCAAAATGATTTCCTTTTCATCGCGGAACAGGTGAGTAAGGCACACCACTTTTGAACCTGACACCATTGTCTTGAACCGTCTGCTTTCCTTTGACCAGAGTTACCATACCGGTGTTACATATTGGTTTCCACTTACATTTTTGACCCGCACATCGTATTTACGTTGGTCTTCCAGCAAACAAAGTAGTGCTTATTTGGATTCGCCAGATGTTAAATATCAGAACTGCGACTCGAACTCGGGACCTTTTAAGTGCTACCGAGACCCTGCAGGCAACCTTTATCACAACGAGTAATGATTGATTGCAGGGGTCGTTTTGAAGTGCTCGTTGTATGTGTGTGTGTGTGTATGTGTGGATTGCGACACGCAACCTCAATCAGGACAGCTATTCGTCGTTTTGGGGTGAATGTCGATCAGTTCGATCACTTGAACCGCATCTAAAGCAGTGAAGTGCTAGGTAGCTCAGGGATAGAGGCTTCGGGTTAAATATCAATTACCCGGCCATGTCTTTAGAACAACAGATAGCACTGAATAAGTTGCGTTGGCATGGGCACGTACTACGTATTCTTGGTCACCGCTTACCTAGGAGGGCCTTGTTTAGTCTGCCAGATATAGACTTATGCAAAGCTCGATGTGGACAGAAGTTGACTCGGCAACGGGGAATGAAGTCACTGACGACCAAACTGGGTACCCTTAGTCCTTCTCGCCTTCCGGACTGCAGTCCACGTGACCCGCCTTGGGTTTGGCTTGAGACTTTACAGGAGATGGCTCGCAGTCGACACCAGTGGCGCGTTTGCTGCCGTCTCCTAGTCGGATTGCCTGTTTAGATTGTGTTTGGTACTGAGTTATCTGCAGGGTAATGGCTGATTATGACACAAGGAAGCTATCTCGCTGATGCGGCTTTAAGTTAGCACGATAGCCAGCTGTTTGTGATGGTATGTTGTTGACAATGTGTAGGCGCCTTGACCCTGAATGTTTGCTTAGAGCAGTAAGGTTTTACCGTAAGTCATCTTTCTCTCTCTTATTATTATTCGTTCCTTAGGTCACCATGGTTGTACGGCCGGTGGCCGAGTGGTCTGCACGTTTGCTTTGCAACCATAAGGTCACCGGTTCGAATCCGCGTAGGGGTGGGCGTCCTCGCGGTATACTCAGCCCGCGCGCGACTGGTGGTGGTCTCGCGGCAGCGAAACGCCGTTACGGCGTACAGCTGACACATTATTATTTTTTTATTACACGGCAGCAATACATCAGTTCAAGTGGCTGACGTACTGCTGTTGATGATGATAATGATGATGACCAGTTTCCCAAATTCGAGTCGTATTCATGCTATCTCTATTTGGTCTCGGTGCTTAGCCTAATGGGTCGTAAACCTGCCTTGTTATCCGAGGACATGTGTTTAAGCCGGTATCGGGCGACTCTCGCAGTATCCAGAGCGCATGCGTGACTGCTGATGGTTGCACTTCAGCGAAGCGTCGATACTGCGTACCGCTGATGGCCACCTTTCTGTCTCTATTTGGTGAGCACAGATTAACGCGAAACACGTCAAATAGTCGGTTTGCTTTTTACTCGCGTTACCGCCTTATCTGGTGTACCCTCTTCTCCGTGTGCAACTTGTAGAGTACTTAGGGTATCAGGAGTATGTCGTTGATTTGCCCCAGCATTTCACTGTGACGCAACTACCATGCGGTTTCAATTTCACATACATGTAGCTTACTTGCTGCCATCAACTGCTCTGCATCTGTGTAGATTCGTCGCAGTTAGACACAGACAGACAGCCACCACACATCCAGGAAAGCGCTAGACGGCCGTTTCGTCCTATTGGGACTCGTCAGTAGCGCGCACCCACCGAATCCTGGATGTGTGGTGGCTGTCTATCTGTGTCTGCGACGAATCTACACAAACACCTAAATCCCCCTACTATTTGCAAATGATCTGCATCTTTTCGGTTGTGGCGCCAAACTCTGTGGAATAGGTTCCATAGATGACGGACAAATTTAACTTTTCCCACAGCAGCTAATGTCCACTGCCGCATGTGTATGGAGTATTTCCCGGTTATCCTAGTCTCTACAACTACCACTGTTCCATTATTTGGCTGCAATGGACTGCAAACCTAACACACGAACTGTTGCGGCATCGAAGACGTATTGGGTAGCCGCCAAGCGGGAATTATTCTTTGCTGCTTTCAAATTCTTTCCTCCACGGGTATCATTGGTTTCCAAGCGTGTTACTTATGTTTATCTTCAATTTGGATGAACCCATACTGCAAGCTATGCTGTCAGTCACAGTCAGCTGGAAAAATCATGTGACAATGCTACCAATGTGTATGTTTCTCGAAATTTCGCGGGACTGCACCAATACAGAACAGATCAGCTTCTACACAAGTTTGCAGTTCGATGCTTTGAAGTATAATTTACAAACTGATTCTAAGCACTTTCAGTGATACCGGTGCACACCCTATTTTTGTGTTACATTTTGGTCTTTCTTAAGTTCATTGGTTGTCGTGACGCAGTAAACTAGCCCGTTGCAGCTGTTTTCCTTGAATGCAAGTTTTCCTTTACTTCATTTGTTGTCTCTCTTTATGACGAAGCTTAGTTTTCCACAAGATTCTTGAAAATTTTCTTTACGTTTACCTCTGGGACTATGCATTGACCTACGGTAGACAACCTAAGCTCACCGCGATAAGGGATTTTTCGGGGTTTCCGTGTCACTCATTCCCTTTAACCAGCTAATCGAGACGGTCATGAATGACCCCAACGTTCCACTTGTTCTGGTCTGGAAGTTCTGTTTGCTGACTAACCAAATAAGTACGCGGAAGACTTAGCCGTCCTCGATTCACACGCAACTATTGAATCTCGCTATAGCAGTACGGCATTTGCTCCTCGCCTTCAAATGCGGATTACTTTTACGTGATTGAGCTTAGACACCGGCAACTCAAAATCAGCGAACAATCATTCGAAAGAATGCATTACTTGACTCATTGTCTGCTTTTCTCCCGATGTTTACCTCACTGGATAGGCCTCTACTATATGCATACACTTGGTTTATGTGGCTTTATAGCCTCAGCCATATATGGACTGTTGTACCACCACCAACCGCTCGCGCTCCACGACTGCAATGAGAATACGAAGGACGAGACAGGACAGAATTGTATTCATGATCCCACTGCTTCACTAGTTGTAGAAGCAAGGCTACTGAAACACATCGGTCCCATTAACAGCATAGGTGACGCTGAGACAAGCGAATGGAAACGACACAAGTAAGAATCAAACATGCATGTCCGAGAAAATGGGACCTAAGTTAATATCCATTACGAACGACGTATATCAGCCAATCAGGTCAGAGCAATAATGCATTTAAACAGATGTTTAAAGACGGACGATAGCAAAATGATATCATGTAGTTAGGAATTGTCACAAATAATGTATGTTCAGCAGGCATCCTTCTAACATGGATGGTTGTGTGGGGGGTTCACATTTGGGTTAGGACAGGAGACTGAAAGGCTTCTGTGCCATCAGTATTACGGTATACACCACTAAAACATGACAAATGCTGGTCATTTCTAATAAGAGCACCGAATGAGTAAAGTTCATCGTCATATGATTTGTCATGACAGACCCTATGGTCCTGCTGCTACACTGGAGCGTCTACTGGCCTCTGATCCCTCCCACTGCCTAGACTCTATCCCTCGCACTTTTTTTATCTCGTGGTGTGTGTGTGTAGTTTCCAACTGCGCCTGGTTGTTTGTAACCCATGCGGTGATCGGACAATGATATGGCAAATCTGCATGACGAAACCCTGGGGTGAGGGGTCCTCCTGTTCGGCGCACTGATACACCCACTCGATGGGATATTGTGCGGTCACGAAATACTTGGTGCTCTTCCACCCATTCTCATACATTTTGACTCTTGGCTAGTCTATCTGCTTATGTTTATTATTATCCATTCCCCCATTTAAATGTTTTCGTTATTCGGGCAACGTGAATTACAATAACTGAATCCACCGTGTCTCGGTACACTGATCATAATTCATCAACAAAATTGTAAGTAAGTGATTGGGTTGTGAAGGAACTCGGTGGTGTCTTCCTCCGAAGCAGCCATGCTTCTTCTTAACGAGTGATTCTGTCTATTTACTCTCTTAGCAACTAATTTACTAGCATTGTGCAACACTGGAATTCCTAACTCTTTTCCGAGTCATTGGGTAGTGCAACATATCACTTGTACTCACTTTTTGAGAGTTGGTTCGTGAATATTTTGGGGCTTTGTTGCCACCACAACTTTGAAACCCTGTGAATCGTGGTTTTGAGTTTATTTGCACCTATTCGCATCGTTTTGCTGGTTCATTACCCCCCCCCCCCACCGCCCACTTCATGACAGGACGGGTTTCCATCGGCGCTCCGGTTGCCATTTACTCTCACATTTAATGTGAATCCTATGGAGATAAAGACCGAAGGGCATGCTGATGGAAGTCACGATTGGCCTGATGCTTCGAATGCACACGTAGCATTCCATCTGATCTACCGCGTACCCAGATGCCGCCATACACGAGCGGTCAGATGTCACCTACTGACAACGGCCGAAGCGATTACCCTTTCTGCTTCATAACCATAACCTATGCGCACATAAGAAATTCGTCCGAATACTCACTGTACCCTGCTCCACTGTAACACTGACACCGTGTGTGTGGATACATCACACACACACCTTTGATCACTGCGGGACCAATCATCTAATTTGGGCACACTTATACCACCTAGACCTCTGAACATGTACCCTTATATGTTGTGTACGTTTCCATGTCATTTATTCTTGGTGTATTAGCCTGATGATGAACTACTTAAAACAATAGGTTGTTCGCTAACTCTTTTTCGGGAAGTGATGTAAGCCAAGATAATGGATGTGAACGCTTGAACTTGGAAATCAAAATGCGGATAAACGTAAGTAATCTCCGAGTTAGCTCATGTACCTTGAATTATGTGCTATCCGTGATATCCACCAAGCAACGCAGACGGAACGCTTTAGTCTATCTGGTGCACTCTAGGTAAAATGTCATGTGAATGAGCGCGAATGTTACCTCAGCCACGATTCTCCCTGTCTGTTATGCTACTGGAGAGGATGTGTCCAAAACTGTCGCTGGATTTTGAGCACGACCGTAGACTCTGACCATGCACTCGTTTGCGTCAACCTGCGGATGTGTTTCAGTGGACGTCCGCAACGGCGCTTTGAGCGTATACACACTGGCCAACTGGTGAAGCTGCATGTTCTGAATGCGTATCTAACTACGCTGGCATCCGAGCTGAGTAAGCGTTCACTACACTAAGTTGTAGATCACTGGTCGCACATCCTCCAAACCTTGTTACCAGCAGGCATGTGTTCATGTGACAAATCAAATTGTCAACCTGGAAATTGGGTCTTCACCTAGTCTCTAGAACTTCTGCATGCTCGCCGACGTGTTCCGGCTGGAAGCGAATACAGTGAGACTCGCAAAGGTCTCAGGGCGAAACTGCGTGCTTGTCTGCAGAGCGATCATAAATTCTGATGGTTTCATCATGCCTCGGAAATGGAAAAAGCCGCTACCCTTGGTAATCATTGGAAGTTATTCCTTCTGATAGGGGAATCTTGCAACAGAAGATTCGATGATGCGACTACGGTAAGTATCGAATCCATAAGCTGTCAAACCGCCTAGATCGTTGGGCCGAACACTTTGTGAAGCAGTTTAATCAGTCCGAATTGCCATCTTATTTTTCGGCCATTGACGGCCCTTCTCTCCGGACCGTCTCCTTGGATCCGCCGTAATGCACAGAAGTCGGACGTAAGATCAGACGCCTGAACTTGCACAAGGCTGCTGGAGCAGATGGACTTCATCCAGCAATCTACAAATTCAGGGGACCTGCTCTGTTGGACGGTTTGCATAATTTACTTGTGAATTTATGGGAGCAGACTGTCCCAAGCTGGAGTCGCTCCGTTGTAACCACAATTTTCAACGGATGCGCTCGTTCAGAATGCTTCAACCATGGAGGGATCAGTCTGATCTACATTGCCTCCAAGTTACTTGCCTCTGTCATCATCCACCGACTGAGTTTCACCCGTGAACGCCAGGTGCGCAATGACCAGGCTGAGTTTCGTCGAAACCGAGGCTGCATTGACCATATATTCACCTTACGTCTGTTGTTGAAGCACCGTCATGTTTATTGACGACCCACGGTACTCGTGTGCTTACACATCTAAGGCCATTTGCTTCTGTTGTTCATTGTGCCCTCTGCGACTGTGTACTGAGGAAACGTGTGCCTGAGAGCGCTGTAGACGCATTGTACGATCAGAATTAGGGATTATAACAAACTGTCCTCGCTCTTCAGTATCCGCAACAGTGTGAGACACGGTTGCTTACTGTCTCTAATCATTTTTAACTTCACCTTTGGCGAAGTCATAGAAACGGCTGCTCCCGGGTGATCAACTTCTTGACTTGGAATATGCCGACGACATTGCCCTCATCTGCGACAGCTCCGAACGTGCCGAACTGCACTGGACAGATTACCTCTGGCTGTCAGTCGTTCCGGGCTATGTTTTGCACCGTCGAAATGCAAAGTCCTCCAAGATTGGCATGGACCTGCCTCTGGACTGACCCTTGTCGGTGATCAGCTAGAAGTCGTCCAAAAATTCGAGTACTTAAACAGCCCGTGGAACGGAGGATGCGATCACAAATCGCTAGCAAAAGCTCAAGGTACTTTTTGCCAATCTCCGCCAGATGTGACCCCGGCGCAACATCAGTCCATCTCTGAAGGGCAGAGTTTACTATGCGGTCGTTTGTTTAATCCACCTGTACTTTTGCGATACTTGGTCCATCAGGTCGGCAGACCTAAAGAGGCTTGCTACTTTCGACCACGCTGCCTTTGCGGCATAACTAATATATGGGAGCACCGTATGAGCAATGCGTGTTCGACGCCTTGTTTCTGGCACAGGAAGAGGACCTGAACCGCTTAGCACCGTTGTTTGGCGCACCAGACTCCGATGGCTGGGCCACATGTTGCGTATGCCACCACACCGACTCCCGCGATGTTCGTTGTTTGCGCGCTGAGTGTGCGGATGGAAGAAGAGAATGGGAAGCCAGGCGGTGACTTGGTCAATATGAATGAAGCCCTTCACTTCGAACCTGGCGTCACTTAGTGTTTCTCGACTTCCGGGTTGGGCTCCGAAGGACGATGGACACGTCTAGTTGGATACACCAGTTGACATGGCAAAGAGCCGACCTCAGTGACGTTTGTGTTGTGAGTCTCTTTGTCCTTCCTCTACCCCCCATTGCTTTTTCCTCCAAATTCAATCTCACACCCATTGAGTTATATGCTAGTTAGCATTATGTAACAATTTTAGTTTTTGCAGTCTGTAGTGTTTGGTATCTTATCTTTTTAATATTGCTGCACAATAGCTGAGGTGTGTTTTTTTATCGTCGGCTGACGCATATTGATGATCGTGACAACGTGTTATGCTATTATCATTGTTCATGTTCACTCATTTAAAAAATATGTATGCGTCGTCTATAGTTCATAGACCTTTGCTCTTCGATGTTACCTTATAAAACCCCATCTATTCTTGTCATCTTGTGTTTTCAAACATTTTCTACTATCTGTCAACCACCCGGCCAGCCCTATTTTCGTTTTTTGTCTGTTGCAAACTTTCACTTTTTTCATCGATCTCAACCTCAGTGCAACTAGGTGCGTGTGTGTGTGGCGCGTCTGCCTCCCGTATTTCGACATACACTGCTATGTCTGTCGCGACTGATTCGCTTTACTTCATCCGTGGTCCCATTTATGTTTTCTGGTTTCTAGCCCTATTTCGGACATGCACAAAGAACGACGAGCTACTCCTCTATCCGCAGTCCGTAACTTGTTTGTATTTTTCATTACGTAGGTTCAGTCTTCTCACACCGTCTCAAATCGGAGTAGTGGGTGGATTAGTTGCTGAGCATCTGAATCAAAGTACTCAATCATCCAGTTCTCAAACGCCTTTAAATAGCACCAGACGGCCGTTTCCTCCTTTCTGAAATCGTCATCTGTGTGCTTTCCATTTGTCGCGCGTGGAACCAGAACTAATCTGGGGCGGTGGGTGGGAACGGCGACTTACTAGGTGTGCTAGAACGCGACCTACATCACTGATGTTATGAAACCAATGTCATCCTGATTCGAAAGTGAACCGTTGCGAGTTTCGTTTCCACAAGGGGTAGTTATAACGTGAACTGCTGCCGATTCTACCAAATACGACAAAGTGTGTATTTGCGACCAGCCTCTCGCCCAGAGCGCGATGTTCTAGTACTGTTCTGCAATGTTGCACCTCCGACTATGTTTGTGGCCTCTGGACACTTAGGCGCACTCTAAAGGTGGCCTGGTCTTTGGACTCGTTACATATCATTTCGCTTATCTCACATCAACTGTTGTGTTTCTTAAGAAACGATAACTATTCTCCCTAAGTGTCCTTCTACCATCGCTTAACAAGACTTGCGCAGCTAGTTGAATCCCTTTGAAATCTGGGAACAGAGTGTAGACTTGATACCACATTATAACACCACCGCTTATTGTGACGAACTGATGATCTCATCACGTTTGACGGTAAAGCTTTGCAACTTCTGATCTCAGAGAACGTATAAATGTCTTTTACTTTGTGTAGTCTTCCAGTGGACTGTCCACCTAGATGGTCTAACGGTTGAATACTGCATGGAAGCAGCAAGAAGTGAGGTATCTGTATAGTTACATCTGAAATTGAGACGAAGAGGTGAGTGGAAATCTCTTCGGACCAAGTGCTGAAACTACACTCTATGGTTCCCTAGGTGGGACCCGACCATATAACCTCCAGATTATGGTTACAATGCATACTGTTTTAATTAACCTCAATCCAAAGTAGCTCTGGGATATTCCTTTATTAGCGATTAATACCGCTTGCTGAACGATCGTTGACGATTAGCATCGGCTGTTGATATGCATTTGATTTAAGATGTTGTGCATGAAATTATGCCAACTTGACTCGTCCCATTATAAATTTGCACATCCTGACTCACCGTCAAACTGCACCTGGCTGGAGCCATTGTGAGTTTAGGATGAACCTGGGGGATCAAATCACGATACTCTTCACGTGTACCAAAATGGGTGCAAATGTACTAAATTGACACCGGAACTGCAAAATTTTACAAATTGACGGGTAAAAATGAACGGGTGCAGTCGTCGCTTGGGTTATCCGTCCGGCTTTCGTGAGCAACGACCGCACAGTGTTAAACAGAATCTTCGGGATTTGCATCCGGTCAACGGGACAAAGTTTCATCATAAATTTTCTTCTTAACCGTTGATGTAAACTTTCGGGAATAGTGCCAGTATCTCAGCACTTGTACTCGAAAGATGTCTAGAGTAGGACGGGCTCAGTGACCTTGGAAATTGTTTGAACAAAGTATCTGTCAGACTTGCAAAACTCATATTTATTCAGTAGATGACGTAGAGATGATGTTCGGCGAAAAAAGCGACGGCCGATTTAAACAACCCACCTCTCTGCTTTCAGGACCGTTGACGTATATTCTATTTATTTCTAGGTCTCCCATCACCCTCCAGTGACTGCCTTTCACGTTGAATCGGAGCACTTTCGTATGTGGTCCACGGTTCAGTTCAAACTTGTCTTCTGGGGAAAGTCAATTGAAGTACATTCAAAGGGTCCCATCATTCTGGAATTGTACCGACACAATGAAGTTTATACTTGGCAATATCCCAGTCTGATCGTTCATAATCTGCTTATGGGGAAAATGTGGGTTGAACACGTGAGTACTCGTCTTGTATGCTGTGATTTCTAACGATGACAGAGGAACACGGTCTCTTGCTCTCTTTTGTTTCTTAGAACAATTCATTTACCAATTTTCCATTATGAGAAGGTGATCGTATGCTTGTTTTTTAAGAATCTTGCTGCACTCTCACACGATGTGTTTGTGGCTGGCAACTCACCCCGAGCAGGGAGCAGGTGTATCAGAAAATGTCCTGGTCACCTATACAACTGCTGTTCAACCCTTGTTGCAAGCTTCATTACTCGAATGGAAGCATACTAGATTTCTAGCGTATGGAAACTGCAACCAATCCTTTGGTATCTCAGGTTGTATAAGCAGTATCAAGTAATTCTACAACCATCGCAACCAGAGGAGTTCGAGCCGACGTTACTAGTGACATTTTCGATAACGTTGATGAATAAAGGTCTACTTCGTGATCTCTGAAGGCTTCCCAGAGCTTTCCGGTCGCCGCGCCCCACGTTACGATGAATGCTGAAGCACCATTCGAGAGTGAGGCGAAACAGTATTTAGAAATAAATAACATTATTCCGGACTGTATGGTTTTTGTTGGTCACTTTGTCCAATGACAACCCGGTTTGTGCTGTGGTTAACGAAATAAAGAAATAATAGGAAAAACAAAGACGTAATTTTAGATGGCAATTCCATTTCGTACATTCCTATCCATCACAAGCCTGCAGCGACGGTAGATAAAGCACACAATGACAAATGGGATCGTAGATGGCCAAGTGCCTTGCCCTACCATAATAGGCTTAGAGCCATATTCAGCTATTTTTGAATGCACAGCATTGCTCATTAGTGATTGGTAACAATGGCCTAGAGATGTGGGTCCGATAATCTTACATTAGGACTAGAAACGAGCCAATTCGGATGAGTCGTTCATATCCGTAATGCACGATCAGAAGCCCCACATTCTTAGGTAATCGGAGGCCGTCTTTATCGGTCGGGAATGGTTACCGCCGTGCATTCAAAACCAATTTGATTGTGAATCTAGGCATACACTTGTAACGCAAGCGCTTGGCCCTCTACGATCTCATACGACATTGGGTCTTTTTTATTTATCACATATATGTGTTTGATAAGAATACACCTTATCCCACAAAATATGTCTCCTGATTTTCGTGATATTTTTGTCAAGAGAATATATTGTTTCAAACAAAAATAATGCAAGGGATTAGTAACAAAATTTACATATTATGAGCTTGAATTCATTACATCTGGGATGTTGAAGTACCATATAGTGCCGAGTATAAGCTCGTTCATGCATAGGCCGACAGTACAAGATTACAATATTAAATTTCTCCAAACTCATAAGTCCCTCTACTAGTCGGCCCAAAAAGAATCTGCAATATGAGAATGGAAATTGTTTCTCCACGGTTTTGACGTCAGCGCTACCTGTTCTCACATGAGTGTATTCAAGCGAAACCTACTCTACTCTCGGTCAATTGTGGTGACCGTAACGTATAACTGCTTTTGATTTGCTACCCAAAATGGTGCAAATGCGGCATCACCTGATCCAACTCGGGGGGGGGGATGTGCAATCTTCCAAAAGCGTATAACCTTTTGTTCAAAAATTATCCGCTTGTATTCACTACTATACGGTATTCCGATTGCCCTATCATGTGAGGCGTTAAACTCGCCTAGTGATCCGTTCGCTGTGGATCTCATTGCCCATTGCTCAATCCTTCTCTTTGTCTCAACGCAAACTTGTTTAGTCTGAGTCCATCTTGATTCTATGTGAGTTTATCTCACCACACCTTAACCTCATTTTAACTTGGTGTGAACAAGTTCTTTTTCGCTGCCACCAATTATACAATCAATGCTGTGACTTTTGATCTCTATCCCCGTTTTGGAGTTTAGCACATAGCTCGTGTTACATTGACACGCCTGAGCGCGGCTCATGTTAGTGACCTCACATTCTTTAACGTAGATTGGAGTGGTGCCCATGCTTGATTATCATACCGTTCGTGCAATTCACTATGTTTCCTTCCTCCGTCTCTATATATACCATTGAACGCTTTCAATGCCAAACCATCACAATTCATAGCACACATACTCAACACCCACAACTCTGTGTAGCATACTTTTGGTCTATCAATTCCCCTAATTCGATGTCATGTTGTTGTGGGACTTGAAACCATGATTTTTGGCTATCTGGAGTGAAACAGAGCAAACTAATTGTCTTCCATACCTAGACATACTGATCACACAGTGAAAGGATGGGTCAGATTTTCGAAGAACAACATGCACAAGTCAGTATTTGCATTTTAAGCATTTCTCCCATACAACACAAACGCTCACTCGTCCGAACGCTGTTTCATCGAGCCCACATGATCTGTACTCCGGACCCAGGGCAACATTTCCTGATCGAGACATTACGATCAAATGGGTATCCGATGCAGCTTATGAAACGCATTAGCGATATGCACAAGTGAGAGCGTGTTCCATCAGTTCAAAAAAAGCAGATCTTCATCAAACTGCCAAAGGTGTTCGTATCATGATAATCACCGCGAAGCATATTGGTGCTTCAATGAAAAGGGCTTACAAAGCAGCTGAACTTCGATTGCTCACCTCAACAAGACCACCGCTTATGTGTTCCCTCAAGACAGCCATAACGAGACAGTGCACGTCCCATTGCTTATACAAGTGCACCTGCACTTGCGGATACAACTATGTCGGGCGCACTAACCGAAGTTTAGGTGTCAGAATCAATGTGCACATTCCTAAGTTGTTACGCAGCCCAATGTGTTCGGCGACGGCGGACTCGGGTAAATTGAGAAATCAAGCTGCCTGGTTAATCACAAGGCACTTGTTGCGCACCGGCCACCGAGTTGACCCCGATGAGTCATTCACCGTCCTAATGCACAATCAACGACACCACATTCTCAGGCTATTGGAAGCCATCGTCATCGATCGAGAGCGTCCTCTGCTTTGTGTGCAGACAGTTGACTGTGAATCTTAACCGACCGTGGTAGTGTGAAGCGTGACGATTGGCTAACTATTGATCCCATAGGACCGCCTTTTCGTATATCTAAGCTTCCTGCATGATCTATAGTCAAGGAGCGTGCACGAAACAACTGAATCATCTCACAGTCTACGTCTTTCGATTTTTCTGTTTGTTATCTGAAGTGAATTGAAAGCTGTCTATTCGGATTTGTGCTGGCAGTGCAGATTGTTGAGGTGTAGTATATTTGATGTTGTTACTTGTTTATAAATAGTACTCTTGTAGTGTGCCAACTTTGTTTGCTTGAATTCCGTTTAGAATGCGTTTGCTCAAAACTCCTGAGCGCTTTGCCGCTTACAGTGCTCAATATCTGTCGAATCATATGCGTTCTCAATGATTTGTATCAGGTTCTCAAAATCTTGATAACATGTACCAAGTGATACATCTGTTCCTACAAGGTAGCATCGATATTCCACAACGGTTGAAGCCATCCCTCCAGGCGACTCGTCGTCAAAAGGTGTTATTGGTTCATCGGTATAACAGTTTGTGTCCTTCCTTTTTATCTTGCAATAATCAACAAATGCTTTTGCAACCATTTTGCCTCGATTGGCTGTCGGCATATTCGCAATTGCGGTATTCATCGTGATTAAAATGCATGGTGACAGAATGCTAGTTTGCGACACCCAGCTGACAAAGTCTGAAACCTTATCTCCAAGTCACCACTTGCTTTGATTATGCCTTATGTTGCCGCAGTAATGCTTGTACTTTTTACTTTCTTTCCCCAAGAAGTTAAACAAGCAAGGGTAGATGCCCAATCTAACTTTCCAATAGTCACACAGCTGCGCAGGTTCATGTGTAAAAGCACTGGCAAATAAACTACACGAATGCTAATGGGGAGAGATGGGAAACTTAGTCACCACCTTTGATCGACCTGATCAGGGTTTATGATTAAGCGGAGGGTTTGTAGTGGCACCCGTTGCTTACACGATGCGGCTGCATTTGCATGACACAGTGTGGTCTGAACATCGTCCTGTCACCTTACTCCTCATTTCTTGCTAGTACCTTGTTGACTTCTTGCTTAGAATGCAAGGTGTCCAATTTAGTTTGCAAGATGTCCAACATGGTTTGCAAAACGTCCACTTGAAATTGACAACGGTATATATATACGGACAAACGATATATTCCTCGACAACCTGAAGCACAGTCCAACTGAGGATTCGGATAAATATGTACGGTTGGTCGGTTTAATATCATCGTAGATTTAAACCCCAAGAGGACACTCAAGAATGAACCAGGAGAACATATAATAGTGAACTATCACAAACATTCACTAACAATGTGTGCTGTCTGTATTTTATTTTTTCAAACTCCTGATTATACTCAGTACGGCTTTTTTTAGCTGAAGCAATTGCTTTATTCAGGGCTGCTCCTGGTAGCTTACCGGAACGATGCCCATCCGTTACCAGTAGCTCAGCCGGCTTGCACCAGTCGCATTCCTATTTTTTCTCCTTCTTTCTGTGTATTGCGGCACAGTAACTGCGGTGTTCCCCACCTCTAGCTAACGTGCATGCTGATGACGATGATGAAACACTCTGCTACGAGTTATCGAGAACGGTACAATGAACTTCATCTCGAATTACTTTGGATTCGACGATTGAAGCCCAACTTGTTGCTGCTTTTCAACATGTTACACAAACGACCTATTCCAACCTGCCTACACTCAATTTACAAGCTTGCTCAACTCGAGCGCTTCGCTACAAAAATTTACACTGAATATACTGAAGGCTAGAAAGAACGTCCGCTCTAATTTCTTCCTGGTCAGATAAGCTATCTGTGGATTAAACTACCAATAACCCTCACGTCATGTGACAATGTGGCAACCTTTAGCAACAGACTTGCCAAATACCTTGATCTAACTACCATAAGCTCTATATTCACATGGGAAAAATCCTTCGATGAGCTATTCCAAGAGGGGCCCAAATACATATAAAGACAAGGTTTTCATAACTAGGCCGAATGTTAATACATGAAACGCATATCCCAATAGTCCACCTATGCATGTCACGCATGCAAGAGCCTGTATCCTTCTGTACAAATTGATCTGTGCCGCTATAGACACAGTTTCTCTTATCAAGAGAAGTATAGGTGTTATTATTATTATTCTTTTATTATTATTATGTGCAGCTGCATCCCATACAGGATACAGATCGGTAGAAGTGACAGCCATATCGCTCTTGGAACTATCTATTATCATTCGGATATCCCCACTCACATTGTTTAAGGCCCGCTATATATAGATCACAAACCTACCCTCCTTGTTGGTTTCGGAGTGCCCGCTGCGTGTGTTTGGATCGTGACACGCGATCTCCACTGGAGGCACAGGTTGCATTGGAGTAAACCTTAATCCTTGTGGTTATTGGAACAGTATCTAAAGCGGAGAGTCTGGGTGCTCAACCCTGCAGTGTTTGGAGTGAGCAATACGGTAACCCTCGACTGGCTCGCCTGTTCAAATACGTGTATAAGGAAGAGACCATCCCGGTCGACTGTAGTGATTCGATAGTATTGATAGCTTCACTGTTCGTCATAACCACAGGAGAGTGTCTGCCTTATGGCGATAGTGACAGACGTGCTGTACTCAGTTCCCATCCGTCACTTTGCCATAGGATGGAACTGTATGTTCCATCCACTGGTCAACCAGTCGCCGAAAGGTTGAGGCGCGTGAGTTGTATCCCAGATATCACCGATGCGTTTCTGCGTAACTGCGAGTGTCTTCGTGCTATACTCAACTCTCATGCAACTGATGATGATCGCATGGCAGCGAACCTTCTGTACGGGGTGTCAGTATACGACCAATTCCTGCATACCGAGGCAGGTGCTACAGCAATGTCACACCTGCCGTCGATCTACTGTAGTTGCTGCTCGACTCCGAATGTGCATTCGACTCACACAATCGCTCTACATCCTCCGACGTACTTGCTCAGGTGTGCTTTCCCAACAAATTTTGTAATGATTCTGCATGCTTTGTACTTAAACATCACAGGTCACGTTTGGGGTCCAACGGCTTTCTGATGTGTGGTGTTCATCAAGTTTGCCGGTTTGCTCCATTTTTGTTCAACTTCGTCGCTGATTTAATCATAGTGTGTCCCTTTGTGGAATGTAACGATAGGTGTATTGAAATGCGTGGTGAAAATTTGGTTAACCTGAATTATGCAGATGATATCGTGCTACTGTTTGATATTCGCCAGGCAGTGTAGTCAATCATGCATAGATTTTGGAGTGATTCTATGATTTGATATGCGAAATGCTGTTGTAAGACCACCAGATACTTCATGATCGCCGAATATTGACGACGACGAAGTAACAGTACTTGGTTAATGCATCTATTTTGGAAAGGGTGGATGCTAAGGTTAGCTCACGTATAACGAAGACTTGAACCTTCGACATCTATGGTTCCAAAAGGTGGTTCCCTTTGGTCTCAGTGACGGTAGGTATAGGTCCTCAATGAGGGCCGTTTTCCTTTATGCTAATGAGACTGTCCTTCACGGGGAAAATCTGGAGTACTGTTAACTGCTTGACCATTCTTACCTTTGGGTCATTGCTGTTGTCACTTGACACTGGCATACCAACCTAGACGAGTACTAGGTTGCCATAGTCATCATGAGTCCGTAGCGTTAGTTGAAACAGGTGTTACAACGTATGTCCAATCACCACTTACGGAAGCGAGTTTCGTTATGTTTTCCGGACTTTGGATGGTGCAAAACTCATGATGGACAAAATTGATTGACAGGCAACAGCAATCCGCGCCGGTACCCCGTACCGACACTTCGCTGCCGCGTGACCACTAGCGGCGGGGTATTCTACGAGGTCATTCACATTTAGACAGACTCGCATTGGTGATCTTTGGAGCAAAACGCAGGCGCCTTATATCCATTCGGCTATCGGCCCGGGACCGAGTGGTCTGCACGTTTTTTGCTTTGCAGTCATAAGGTCACCGGTTCGAATCCGCGTAAGGGTGGGCGTCCTCGCGGTATACTCAGCCCGCGCGCGACTGGTGGTGGTCGCGCGGCAGCGAAGCGCCCTTACGACGTACAACTGATGCATTATTATTTATTATCTACAGCGAGATATGAAGCTACCGATGACAAAGCTGCGTGCAACAGGTCATTAGCGTTCACGCAACGTACCTTGTGTTTCGGTCTGAATTTTACCAGTCTGGGTTCGCACTCAGGAGTGGTGCGCGTTTATTATCACCCTTATCCGGTTGCTTGTTTAAATTGAGTTTTCTAAGGAGTAATGGCTGAAGATAACACGGGGCAGGGAGATCCACAAAGAAACTGTCCCACTTATGTCATCTTATGCCCCCCGCACGACATCCGGTCGCTTGTCAATGTGTTGTGTGTGTGTGTTGGTGCCTTGACATTAAGTGTTTGCTTAGGCCATTCATGTATTACGCTAGGTCTCCCTTTCTTTCCACCATATTATTACGGTTGTACGGCATCAGCTCAATCTGCTTAAGTGTGCTGCCCTTGATGGTGATGCTAATTGTCCTTGTGACTGGAATTAGGTCAAGTGCGCGCACTCGCGATACACTCTGGTGTTCAGATCACAGCCACTCAACCAAACTACTCTTCGTCTCCTCCCAACAGCATGTCGAACAATAAATACACTCTGTAGGGATTACTGGGAACCATGAGTGTTTAAACCAATAGAAAATGTTCGTTCTCCACGTATGTTCTTTCATGTAATCCAGTCTTTTGTTGTTGATCTCCTTCTGCCTTATCCTCAATGTCTTCGCTATGTTCTGCCTTCCTCCTCCTCCTCCTCAATCACCTTCATTGTTCAAGGTCGGTCCGATGGAAGTTACTAACCGGACAACTGGTGCAAAGTGTCATTTGGAGTTTCATCCCTCTGGTTGGTCCGATTCGGCGACAAACCAAGTGACAGGTCATTTATCGTTGCCCAACTCAAGTGCCAAGCAAAGCGCTACTCGCCAGTTCTTTGGAAATTGGACTCGAGGCTTGTTCTCGGTGGACCCACCCGTGTGGGAAAAACGTGGTTCCGCCATGCGCTCATCGAGTCAAGGGGGTCAGGAAGTTACCGTACGTGTAACACGTGCAGAACTGCACTAGCTCTTTTTTTCAGGTCTTTTGGTAATAACGACTTCACGATGAGCTCCAAGTATATGCCGATATGTCATGCGGTTATCCTTCCTCATTTTTTGACAACCAGACTTTTCCACATTCATGCGCATGAAAGGGAGTGTGTCCTAAATGAATTTGTTTGAACTTATTTCTTCTTAGTTACCTCCTTTCTATATATTGAATCTGTTTAAATTTTGTTTACTTTGTGGGGCGTGCAGTCTTGCATGCCCGGGGCTTTTAATGGTTACGCATTCTCATTGTTTGCGCACTTTTCAGTCTCCTCGTCCTTATTTGTAGGAACCCCGGTCACTGCTCTCATTGCTATCAGTTGTCTCTCTTTTTGGAATCGATTCACTCAAAGACTGTCCGTTATTTCTTCTATACACAGGATTATCGGCCCGTGGCCTAACCAACAAGACCTTTGCTTTACAACAACAGGTCACGCGGGTTTGAGCCTGTGAAGGGGGCTTGGCGACTCTTAGCCATCGGTTGACTGGCGATGCTTGCGTGACTGCTAAGCGTCGGTGCGGCGTAATGCTGATGCCCTTATGCACAGCATTGTGCACTATCGTTTGTCGGATAAGTGAACCAGACGCTTTTACAGCAGTAATACTGCAGATATACAATATATTGTGTGCACCCCAGCATAACGGGTCTTTGTAGCCGAATGATATTAGATGCAGCTACACAGAGATATCTTTTCTTGTTGCTTGCAACTAGTAATCAGTAATCGTCAACAGCCATCAACATCATCATCAGCCGACTGCGGATAACGATCGCCGGTCGGTTTTCGCTTCGCTGCCATGCCAGTTCGCTTCGTTTAATACTCTGCGCAACCCGCGTTTTTGTGTTATTTGTTGTAGAGTTCGAATTCATTTTCGACTCTGATTGTATCTACGTAATGTCGTGTTCTATCTACATTTTTGGTGTCGTTTTCATACAGTCGATTATCGTCCACAGATCGAACCTTAGGACTTCCTTGTTATTTGCCCTAGTATGACGAAGCAAACATTCTGTGGTTCTTGTTGCAAAATAGTTCCACGACGAGCTAATGCCGCTACTTGTTTTTGTGTCGTGTGTATTTTTATATTTCTTGTATTTGTCTTACATTTGAGCAATTTGATCTTTAACATAGGATTAAGTATGATGATGTCTGGGTATTTTGCAAGCAGTGCCAGAGCAAAATGCAACAGGAGGCATTCGATAAATGTCGCGAGCCAGCAAGGATGCCACACGGTTCCAAGGCGATGGGCTCCGTGTGTTCAACACAGAAGGCTGACACCTAGCCACACCCAATCCCGAATGAGCCTACTTGCCAACTGGCTGTGGACTTTCCAGTCCGATGTTCATCCGCTACTGAAGGTCCAGCTGGCGTGCCCGTGTTGCGTCCGACGGACACCGACAACCTGGTGTGTGGTGACGCAAGCTAAGTAGGCGAATGCAAGGAAGTAAGGAGAGTGCAACTGTCAGCGACCAGCGGCGTGGCAATCCAACGGTATTTCATGTGCCTGAGTCAACGGATACGAATCCTCAGGCTCGTTATGATTACGACATCCAATTTCTACAGAACATGCTTAATAGACTCCTCGACTTGGATGAACATTGAATGAGGGTGGAGAAGATCACCCGTCTTGAAAGAAGAAAGAAGGGGGTAAACTCGGCCATTACGAGTCAGCTTTGTAGACGACGCGAGTTCGAGACTGGTACTATCCCGCTTCGGTAGGCTAAAAGGGTTGAAGATCCTTACTTATCTAGATATGGTTCCGTCGGACCGAGAAGACTGAAATCCGCCATTGTGATGGGAGTGTCATATCAGAGTTAACGGTCGAGCCAACCGAGCGAACCAGGTAATCAATGTGGGGCGGAAGTAACTGATTTGATTTGTTAGATATGGATTGGCCGACATTCATGTGAGTTAGTCATCCTTTCTTTAACTGAGTCAAAAGAAGAGCGTTATTGTCTCAGTAAGGTCGTTAGTTACGGATGTGAACGCGCAACTTATATCGAAGAGTTTGGTTTGCCAAACGTGCTGTACTTTTCGTCTGGTTATCTTTTCCGAATAAACGCTTGTCCCTGAAGGACTGAGTTCTGCAGCAGCCATCTTTGAGTTGAAGCAGCGTAATGATAGTGGGGAAAGCAGTCTCCGCCTCCTACCTTTTCGGGTAGTTCCCCGGGTTTGCCGAAGCGGAATCTGCACTTCGATGACACTTCATGCCTGACAGGTGGCTCTTACGGTGGCCTACGCGTAGCTTTCACGAGGGTATAGTTTAATGTGCAAACGTGACGATATCACTTTGTTGCCTCGTCGTCCGGACTTACTAGGACTGGCTGAAACCTGGTTAAATCGTGAGGTCACTACCCAGAAATTCCAGTTCGGTGGCTACTCGTGCTTCCACTGCGACATGTTACCAAATGAACGCGGTGGTGTGTTGTTATACAATCAGTCCTCGCTGTGCGGGTGACTGGTAAACACATACCGAAGCGAACTTGGCCTGTGCGATCCGCTGTGGTTCTCCATCCGCCTGAGACAGAGTTAACTGTTTGTGAGCGCTGCTTATCGCATTCCGCAAAGTTGATATCTGGTTTGGTTACCGCATATCAGAAGCTTACCGAGCATTTTAACTCCCTTGGAATATTGCGTTCAAATTCTCTCCGGGCACAGTGAAATCAAGACGGAGATGATATTTGAGGTTGTTGCAGCACAACATAACTGTCAATCGATGAGGGTTACACCCCATTCCGCTCCATCGTGCTTGGACCTACTATTAAGTAGTTGCGAACACCGTGTGCATGATATTAAGGTCCTGGAGCCTCTGGCACTTGGCGACCATTCCATGGTCTTAGCCAGCCTAAAGCTGCAGCTGCCCTACCCGTGTACGCTAGAGTCATCCTAATATTACTGGAAGACCGACTTCGATGGTCTCAATCGATCCGCTATTGAAATCTACCGGTCGCTGCCGCTGTATTAGTCTGTTGTAACCTGTTGGTCTGTTATAAAAGAGCGTGTCCAATCGTTGTGCACTCGTTTCGCATCCCTCAAATATAGGAAAGCTGTATCAGTGAAGCCACATTGATTCAACATAGACTATAACCAATTGGCACGACTGCGACGCGTATAGTGGTATAAATTCCTCGCCTCTGGCTCTATCGACGATTATGAAGCCTACAAGAGGCAGCAGAATATATGCAACTACACAAAGCACGAAAACGTCGCCAGTTCGAAGAGTAACTCGCAATCTCAGTGAATCCGGCCCCCGAGAAGATTTTTGTTCATGTGAAGCGACGACTGGGGGTCGCAGATGACCTAGCAGCGTTAGAGGGCTCAAATGGACAGGCTCTGACTTCCGGCACTGAATGTGGGTCTGCATTGGCGGCGCATTTCGCTTCCGTACTTACAGGTGGGCGTGCGCGTATGCCGCACTTGACGTGTGAAGCTCCTACGGAACTCGAGTGCCTGAATTGCGATGTGGATGTCCGCAGTCTACTCGCCAGTCTTGACGGCATGAAGTCTGCCGGACCCGACGGCCTCCATGAACTGATTCTAAACCCCTTTTGGCCATCATCTTGCCTGATATGACTGATCTGTTCAACAGATCGTTATCTGAAGGTTCATTGCCGAGCGATTTGAAACGCTCGGTTGTGAAGCTGATTCCGAGGGACGGTGACGCGACTAAGGTGGACAATTACCAGCCTATTTGTTTGACCTCTGTTTTGGGTAAAATGTTCGAGAAGATTGTGAAAAAGGCTCTTTTCCAGCTGTTAGGGTCGAAAGCTCTCCTAACACCCACGCAGCACGCTTTCCTGAAGTGCCGCACCTGCATCACCAATTTGCTGTTGACTCGGCACGGATGGTTGCTGGCGTTGAACCGCGGTAAATCGGTAGATGTCATCTACCTTGATTTCAGTAATGCTTTCGATAAAGTGAACCATGAGGTCCTGCTTCACAAGCTGAGAATATGTGGTGTTGATGACGCACTGCATCAGTGAATAAGTGACTTCCTTATTGGGAGAAAATGGCGGTTGCAAGTGCGTGACTACCTAATGGAATGGTCCCCATCCATTAGCGGCGTACCCCAAGGGACAGTTCTGTTCAGTTCGGATGATCAACTATGATCCGAGCCCCGAAATGCGGTGGATCCAGTTTCCACGACTCACCGCAAGAATAACAGTAAGTAACACGTGAAAGATAGTGGGGTTAAAGGCAGTTAGAATGTAGAGGAAATAAAAGCAAGGAAGGCTTGCATTAAACCAATCAGAATGGAACGAAAATTAACAACCAGATGCACGAAACCGAATGCAATAACGCCACTGACTGTGTGACTCCGCCATGTCAGATACGGTCTCTAACCATTGGTATAGACCATCCCGATTCCCCCATCCACGAAGACAACACGCACCAGACTGACCAAGTCTCTCAGTCAATTTCTGCATGCCACTATGCCACATTATGGACTGACCACTTCGCGATTTCACCCAACTTGATGCAGCCAAGGCGTATATTGTACGTCGGGGCAGCTGGTCAAAGGTCAGGCACAGTACTGGGGCCCATTTTGTCCTTGATCCACATCAACCAAGTGCTTCAGCTCCTTCGATCTCCCTCTGCACTGTTTGCAAACAATCTGAAGATTCGGAGTTTTACCGATTCTCCGGACGACTATGTCGTCCATCAGCAGGACCTCGACCGCCTGTTCCTGTGGGCTGCAGAAGTTGGTCTGCGGGTCAACCCTGTCAAGTCGTCATTCATGAGTCTGGGAAAGAATGGTAATGAAGCTATGAACACTCTACTTGGCCAACTACTGTGCCACTCTATTATAACTCGGTCCGTACTGAACCACGACTCTTAGTAGGACGTAGTATTCGGCCCGTAGCGCACAACAGCAGACCATGCCAGTTTCAGCAATACACAGAATGTATTTGATCGCCATAAACACAACGCTTCGCATAACTTCAGACAGTCTAATCATTGGTTAGCTGGCGTTAACGGACACACACACTGACTCTGGTGGATCCAGCCAATTGGAACACAGTTTACTCGATGACAAGCTTGGCGTTGAGCTGATACACTGCACAGATGCCACACCCACAAGCTCCGTAAAGGATCTAGGTGTACTCTCAAGCTGTGATCTGCAGTCCATCGACAACACGAACAGGCTGCACGGAAACGGACTACGCTTGCTTTAGGCGCTTAGACGCTTCTGCACTTGCCTGTTCTCTTCCATGATAAGAACGGTGCTTGTGTACGGATAACCCGCCTATTGTCCGATCATATTAGGTAAGGTGCAGGGCCTAGAACGTGTTCAGCATGTAGCTACCCGACTCATGTTGTACGAGGACCGATGTAGGAGACTAGGGCTGTATACCCTGTCATATCGTCAGTTTTGAGTTGATCCCATAATGACGCACTTGACGTCGCACCTGGGCCACTTCCCTATGTTGAGGCCGCTGCTGCATGCTCGCGCACCAAGCAGTACACGCGGACACCGGTACAAATTGGTGGTAGCGGATTTGAAGGATATCGTTCAATCTCTGCTATGAGCGTCGTGTGGTGAAATATTAGAACAAGTTGCCGGTGGCAATAGTTGCGGCGAAATGGTTGTCGGATTACAGGTATAAGGAGAGTATCATACCCGGATACGATGTAATTCAGCTGTAATATGCTACCACCGCATATGATCAGCTACCCGACTCAGCGTAGGTGTCTGATCTAACTACGATGGAGCAACACAGGATTTATATCACCTCGTTCTGTAATTTCAGTATTCATCATCATCATCATCCACAGCACACATCAGCTGAGGGTGAGACATACACACCAGCTCATGTGCCGCATTACAAAAAAATAAAATCTATAAAAAGTAACACAATGCTAACTAATTATGTATATGGCTTGAGATCGTTGTTTGATAGGGAAGCCGAAAGGAAGCCACAAAAAGATTCCCAACACAAACGCTACTGAAGTCGGCTCTCCGACATGTCAGCTAGTGTTTCCAACCAGTCATGTTCACCGTCCTTCGGTCTCCAACTCGACAGTCGCGAGACATCAACTAATGCCAAGTTCGAAGTGAAGGACTTCATTCCTCTTGACGAAATCTTCGCTTGGCCTCCCCTCTTCTTCCATCCAGACGCAAGGCGCGCAAATAATGCACGATGGGGAAGTCAGTGTGCTGGCATGCGCAGCATATGGTCAAGCCATCGGAGCCTGATTCGTGATATAATAGTGCTGAGCGCTTCACTTGCTCTTTCTGCACCAAATGCGCGACGTCGAACACGTTCGTTGCTCACTCGGTGCTCCCGCCAGACATGAGCTAAGCTACGAAGGCAGCGATGATCGAACGTCACCAACCTCTTTATGTCTGTCGACCTGACGGGCCAGGTTTCACAGCCGTCTAAGAGAGTTGAACAGATGGCTGCATTATAAACTCTGCCCTTCAGGGCGAGATTAATGTCGCCTCTGCGCCACAGGTGGCGAAGATTGGCAAAAGCACCTCGTGCTTTTGCTACATGGTTTGTGACCTCTGCTTCGATCCCACGGACGCTAATATAGCTGCCCAGGTACTTGAACTCCTGAACAACTTCTAGCTGATCACCGCCAAGTGTCAGCGCAGGGTTGGGTCCCTGCCAATCTTGGAGAAGTACTATGCATTTCGATGGAGCAAAGCATAACCCAAGACGGCTGACAGCCAGTGCCAATCGGTCCAATGCTGCTTGGCACGTCTGGGAGCAGCCAAAGATTAGGGCAATATCGTCCGCATACTCCAAGTCTTGACGTCGCTTGCCTGGAAGTAGCTCCACACCTAGGTCATGTCCAGCGAACGCTGTTTTCATTACTTTGTCAATGACGAACTTGCAGAGGAAAAGTTACAACAGGCAACCTTGTCCTACCCCGCTGGGGATATTGATGGGTGGCGACAGTTTGCCATAAACTATCACGCTGTCCGTACTATGCTCATACAGCGCTTCTCTGCCATTCACAGATTTATCGAGCATACCTTTCCTTTGTAGACCGTTCCAAAGTGCACATCGATTACCAGAATCATAGTTCCATTTGATGTCTAGGAATACGACGACGGTGGTTCGCCACTGAACATGGTGGTGCTCCAACAATTGATGTAGGGTGATGATGTGGTCAATGCAGCCTCCATTTCGAGCAAGCCCTGCTTGCTCTTCGCGAATGCGGCTTCCACGGATGCGAGCCAGGACTACAAAGGTAAGTCACTTGGAGGCAGCTGCGATCGGACTGATCTCTCCATAGTTGCCACCTTCCGAACGGGAGTCTTCCTTGAAATCGGCACCATAGCGGAGCAGCCCCAGTCTTTTGGGACAGTTCTCTGCTCCCGTCGGTTCAATAATAATTTATGTGAATCGTCTAAATGGGCACTTCCCCCGAATTTGAAACTGGCTGGATGAAGTCCATGTGCTCCGTTGACCTTGTGCCTTTTCACGTTCGATTTCCGTGCGTGAGGGCAGATCCAAGGAGGCAGCCCAGGGTGTAGGGCGCTGATTGGCTGATGGAGCAGCTAGCTATTCTGACTGATTAAATGGCTTCTTATAGTGTTCGACCCAACGCTCCATGAGCTTTGACAAGCCGTGCACCGACTATCTACTCTCGTCGCGTAGGCTCTCGCTTAACTTCAGGTTTCCTGTTAACAGTATCGTACGGAATAACTTCAGATGGTTACCAAGGCAGCTGCTGTCTCTATGTCCGAGGCTTCGCGGTCTCTCTTCAGGCTAGCACGCAATTTTCTCCCTGAGATCTTTACGAGTCTCATTGTATTCGCTTCCGGCCAGAACACGTCGGCCAGCATCCAGAAGCTCTAGTGACTGGCTAGAGACCCAATGTCTAGGCCAACAATTTGATTTGCCACATGCGAACATGCCTGCTGCTGATAAAGTCTGGCGGATGTGCGACCAGTAATCTTTAACTGTGTTCAAATGACCGTTACTCAGGTCAGATGTCAAGGAGCTTCGATACCCATTCGAAATATCTAGCTTTGCTTGTTGGCTAGTATCTGCGCGTCTTTACGGACGTCCACCGAGACGCATCCGCAGGTCGGTGCAAACGATTACGTTGTCAGAGTTCACACTCGTGCTATAGATTCGAGAATAAACTATTTATTTATTTATTTTGCTCGAGCAACAGCTTTTAACGCATTTTCTCCAGTCGTAATTGATCGCGATGTGATCGATTTGCGTCCATGACTGTCCCGAGGCTGATGGGCGTATTGTCACCCTCCGGCGTGAGCTGTGTCGAATCCTAGCGCTCTCGAGAACGAAACTAGCATCGTCACTCAGGTGTAGCAACCGCTCACCGCTGTCAATACGGGAGCTTGCACCATGTTGGCCACCCAGATGAAGCCCATCAACGGGCATTATTCCAACTTGGGTGTTTAAATCGCAAGTAAGCACGCGGTCTCTGTACTTTTCTGCAACAAAGTCGCATGTTCAATTGATGATAGAGGTCCTCTTTCACCTAGTCAGCGCTGTAATTTGTGGTGCGTATACCGCAATGACAAACAATCCCTGTTTGTCGCCACGTGACTTTGATGCTTTGAATGGGCCAGCCAATGCGACAGCACGTCCGTTTGAGTCGTGCGGACAGCTGGCTCACTCGGTCGTCGTGGATGCAATTTTCGTGACTATCGGATTATAGTATTTGCACTAAGGATGCAAGCTGCTGCACTACGGATGTAAGCCATTGCATTGACGCAATCTATTGAAAAGTGGTATAGAACATAAACAATTACTGGACCAAGATGGGAGGGACGATAAGGATGCAAAGCGTATAAAAAGGAAGAAGAGGAAGACGGGGTGGCTTCAGCAGTAGCGTAAAAACTCCTATCCATCCTGCCCGATGCAGCAGATGCGTCGCCGTTGATTATCCTCTGCTTCGGCCAGAGCATCAAGAAATCGTTTGAATCTAATGTCAATGTATTACATGGACAAAATACTGCCAGGTTGCCTAGGCCTAGACAGGAGAACTATTAGGGTTCTGAAACAACGCCTTTGGTACAAAATCGTGTTTTGGCGGAGATTTCGTTATATGGAGTAAAGACCCACCCGATCTTCAACCCCCAACATGTAGGGCCAGTAGACTGAGTTTGTCTTTTCTCTAACCGTTGATCAATTTGGTATGAGTGGCTCTGAAGGTGCAAAAAGCATCACCCAGATTGGCCCCTTGTCCGCTGAGGCTCGTAAACCATCGCACAGCGTTAAGTTCCAGTCTCGTCGCGATTGCCGTTGGCTAGGTTGTGTCCTCCGTATACTCGCTGACCTGTGTTCACTGTATACTTTCTCTATATCTGCTTGGACGAAATCACAAAGGGTGCAATCTACTGTGTATTTTCCAAGTGTGATGAAATTGGCCAGAGGACTTTGTCATTATGGCGCGTGCCGTGTTCAGTGACCACATCCGTGGCTAACTGCTTTATTCGTTGTAGCCCAGTCGCGGAGTCTGTCGCTCCTTCGCTTCGGTTTCTGTGGTCTATTTTCACCACTCCATCCCAAATACTTTTGCTTTGTCCCCTTTTAACTCCGTCCTATTTGGATTCTCATGGCCGCTGTTTGTCACCATCCAGGCTACGCAGGTCTTGGCTGCTGAATCCGCCACACCTCGGTGCATGGATCATACGTGTTTACCTGAACTAGGATGTACTCACGCATGGTACTCACCCGGCACGGATTTTGTTCCCTCTTTTTCAGTCTATCACAGGACAATCAGTTGAACCCAGTACGAATGGCAAATCTTCTAATTCGGAATTTGGTTTCGAAATCCCGTTACCTAACCAGCGTTGTTTGTGGACTGCCCGGCCGAGACCGCTAGACTCCAGCGACTACTACAACTTCACTTTGTACGCAATGCGTCTAAATGAACTCAGCGATCAGTTGGCCTCTAGCCAGGCTGATCCAACCACTTCGATCAATAGAGTAACCGACGTTTCTCGATCGTTCCTTCCACCTACGGACAGTCGATTCCGTCCGGATATACGAGCTCTTGAACGGGCAAATTTGGGTAAGATGCATTCTGTTGGCTTGAATGACATTTCATATGCATTGTGACGGCATGTGTGTACTTTGATACTTTCTATTTCGAACGGCTTGTGCGATATCACACGTGACACCACAGTGAATTGTGGTCGCAGAAATATATGTATACGCAGCTCTGTACATCGACTGGCTCAAAGGATGGTCGAGCGTTTTTCAGGTTGGCGAATCCATTTGGGGCGAATCATGGGACGAATCGTAGCACCACCTCCTCTCTGACGGGGCGCTTGTTGGATGCCAGATGTTGTAGGATGGTGCAAATCTCCAAGTGGTCAAAAGTTAATTTAGAAGCGGGAAATTAGGTAACTGACGACCTAGCTCGGTGTCGTTCGTCCTTTTCGCTTCCCAAACTGGAGTCCACGTGACCAGCCTTTTGCTTGTCTCCACACGTTACGGGACATGGCTCGCAGTCGACGCCATCGACGTGTCTGCTACCATCTCCTTGTCGGACTGACTGAGTGCGTTTGGTGCTGATTTATCTGCGGACTACTGGTTGGTTATGATGCGCTGCAGTGAAAGCCGCAAGGAAGTTGTCTCCCGGATGCCGCCTTATCTTTGTACGAAATCCAGCTGTTTGTGATGGTACGTTGTTGACAAAGTGTAGTTTGTTTATGGCATATGTTTTTACGCCAGGTCCTCCTTCTATCCTTGTTATTATTCTCAGCTCCCTAGGTCACAGTGGTTGTACGGCAGCGAAATATCAGTTAGAAGAACTGATATTGCTAGGAATCTGTTGGCGTTTGATGAAGTACTGTTGATTGGATTGACCGATTCGACATCCGAAATAACTTGATCTTATCGCAGTCTGTGCACCTACTCACGTTGCGTACTTATCCGTCATGCTGATTATCAGGCGCATTCAAGTGCGTATGTTTTTACGCATGGATTGCGTTTTCAGCTGATAAGGTTAACATCAATCACATTTCAAATTAGCCGCCGTTTAAATATCTCGGAATATGCTAGGAACCGATTGGGATCTCATGATTTCAGACGGTTTTGAAAACAAATCGCCTTTTGTAGGCTTTTATTATGGGAACGTTTCGCTCTTGATGCAAGAGCTTCTTTATGCCACCGTTTAATCCAATCACTGATCTTATATGCCACTGGGCTACAGCTGCTGTTACCGTTAGTGTGTACCATCGGTTTTACTAACTTTATTATTGCTCAATGCACATATCCGACGTGTTTACGTTTATAGACCTTGCGGAAACGGAGAAACACCGTCTGGAAGAAAAACAGCGCCACTCGAGCAAAGCGATGATGGCTTCTAGCGGCCGACAAGGGAGTCATAGTTTTCCTCTGCTCTCACTCATCGCCCTTTCTGATTCCGACCGTAGTTCATCCAGTGGCGGTAACCGATTGAATGATTCCAGCCGTCATCGGCGCGTTTCCGGCTCCGGTCCATTGTGGTTTCAGCAACAAGAGAACAAAGTCACCAAACAGACAGACTGGTGCTTTACCGGCGAGTATTGGTCACGCGATTGGAGTCGCTGCCCCGATTTGTATTAGGGCTTCTCTTCGACCCTTTCTTTTTCCCCACTGATTGAACCGCGGAATCACATACTTTGCTTCCGAGTGTCTTTCAAATCGCGTTCTTTATATGTTGCATTTCCCTATTCATACAATCTGGTGCACATACCCGATCTCAGACTGTCACGCACCTATTTTGATTGACTTGATTTTGTGGCTAATTTATTTACCATTCTCTTTGCCTTTTCTTCAATGCATGAAAATATATTTGCTCAGTTTTCACCTAGTTTCCTAGCCCATTCTTTGCTTTTTCATTACTTTTCTCATGCAATTTTGTATGACATTTCCCATGTGCGGTTCATGCTCAGGAACGTGGGATTTGACGTTTGATAACGCTCGACTCGTTTCACCGTCGCGGTGGTACTCACGGTGATGAAAACCATCGCATTATTTTGGCTTATTTCATGTTAGCAAAACTACTCACCGCATGAACTCTGACGTTCGTTTATCCTTCGGCTGCTCCTGCATTTTTTTCTACCCATGGCGGTGCAGTGCGCACCTTGTGCATTTGCTTATTGTCACCACCTACGCTATGATGCTTCGAAAAACGTTGGATTATCCAGGTATTGAGCTGAATGTGTCATTACCTGATACATATCACAAGCGCCAATGCCTATAAATCCGTTATTTTACATTTGCGTTATTGAGTCAGTGACTCAGTAATGAGGTACTATGCAAAGATATGATGTGTCGTGTCAACATTGTTTAGTGGAACTACAGATAATTATTCTAATATGCAATAACGCCGAATGTCGGTTGCTGGGTTCAGTATTTGAGATATTGATTTGATCGTCGATGTGGGCGATTTTGTTACAGACGTTTCAGCAACCGATGTGGCATCTTCCCTACGTAATACGGAGTCTTTTTCAGTAGTAACCGCACTTTAAGCAACTCCAGTGAAGGATCCTGTTGGATAATTCGGGCGTTAGTAACTGCACTTTAGTAGGAATGTTTCTCTGCCTGCATACTCATGTATTCTCGGACGATTTCCGTTGGTTAGCGTGAAGCCTATCGCGACGTAGGATGACTTCTGTTAATCCCACTGGCGGATTGCCTTATTGTCCATCGAATACGGTTAAGCAGTGTATTTTGTACGATATTCGGTTTTCTCTGAAGAAAATTGCTTCTTGGACTTCTCGTCATTGGGTCCGAATCTCCATTTCAGCCCGGTTAAAGCTGCGTTCCTTTTCAACGACCTACGGTGAGATCAACGACGATGCATAATAACTACGGCCAGATCATTTGTGCTCTTGTATTCTTGTTGACAATTTCCTCCCTCTTTAGATCAATATTGTTTCTCCCAGTCTGATCACTGTATCCGTTAAGCGACTTCTTGACATTTGTGTGCTTCCGTCTTTCTCTTGGTTTAGGCGACATTCTCTAGTTTGACGATTGGCCTATGGGCTTTCATCAGTTGGCACCGTTGACGGTCGCCTGTATCTCGTTCGTGCTATAACGCCAGACAATCTTATTGGTGTTATTGGTACAGGTGCGGTAGTTGGTAATCCCGTGTACGAACAATTAAGAATGGATGACATTGAAAAGATTATATAATGAGACAGACAGACATCCAGAACAGAAAAGTTTGGTTAATTGCGTTTCATAAACAGCATCGTCATTCATCACAGACCGTATCGAGCCGTCCTGTGTCGTAATGGGCATTGTGCTAACCAGTGGGGTAGTCTGAGATTGCAATCAAGAGTTTCCAATGTCTGGGAGTTATGGTTCAGGCCGACCATGAATACCCGAATCAGGCTGGAACGACATTTGGGAAGGGCATCCAACACAGTGTTCTGGCAGAGCAGTGCAGTAGTTTGGAATGTCGTCGGAATTTTATTCCCGTACGCTTTTGCAGTACGTGGAATGTCCTACCAGAACCATATACTCATTTCGCTGCGCCATCTCGCTTGACTCATTACCCATGGATAAACAAAATGGTCCGGTCGACTCCCAGCATACATTCCACCTGTTTCACCTCCCTTGTGTGTGTTCACCAGAATGCGATCTGATTTGTTACCAACGCCTCATTTGTCGTCATTGCTCATGGATCACATTGAGTTTGCAGCTTATACTACGTATATTGCAGTGAGTCCACCGGTTGAACTTTCACTATGATCTCCTACGGGACCTATTAAGCTTTCGTTTTTTTACCTGTATAAAACCATTGTTGCTGGAATATCCAGACGGAAAACCAATCGGAACAAAATGGTTACTAACGCCTGAATCGCATAACAAGATTGGTCCTATGTATCCCTTACCATTGTATATATTATTTTATTTATTTAACACTTAACCAATAAACATTTGGCCGAGTATCACAACACGTGAGTAACAACAACTAAAACGAGAACGAGAGTCAGGAGAAGGGATGTGGGGATTCATGTATTGTGCGTGCAGAAAGCTTTCCGGTTGCCCAGGCCGAGGAAGAGAGTTGACTTAGGGGTCCCACGCCGAACATTTGGTCATAAGGACCTGGCCCACAAGGCAGCGGCGCGATTCACTGAACACCAAGACCGTTGACAGCCAGGTGGATCACTCACCTTTGTGTTCTGTAGCAGTCCACCCAGAAGCCGGTGGCCACCTACGTGGCTCATCCACTGGCCTTTAAATACTCACCTCCAGTTACAGAATCGAGTGCTCAGCGACCTCTATAGCCGATCACATTGGCTATTACACATAGCTGTACAAGCTATTTTATTTGATGATGAACTAGGTGGTCAGCCCAGAAGTCCCCGCGCTCTGAGACGCTGCCGCTGGTTGTCTTCGACTACTTATTCATCTCGCCTGCAAAGCAAACGAGATTTATTCACAATAACCTTCAAGAGTAGGGCATTCTTGAATCCGCAACCTGAGGACGCGCCCGATGGCGTACAGCTCCGTCATCATCCTTCTCCTGAGTTGTCTGCAACGCAGATTCCGCTACAAACCATTTATTGGTATGTATCGAAGATGCAACCAAATTTATAAGACATGTTTGATTGCATTGGTCATTTCGTATGCCGATGGCTTATTTCGATCATCTGTTTTCGGTCGTGTTTATGCCGTCATTATTTCCCAGCCCATTCTACTCATTGAGACCTATGTCAATCAATTCACGACCTCCCCTTTCAGTTCGTTTTGAGGCTAGTTTAGGGCGAGAGGGCGATGAATACCAAATGACACCGGCCTTCCTTCATCCACTGTTCGGTTTCGAATTCCCATTAACATAACGGTATACTGTGACCACCTAAGTACTCCGACATGTAAGGTCAGTTGTACTTCCTTTGATTTCATTTCAAATACTGCAGTGTGCCTTAATTTGTCATAGGTACTCACATTTGCTCGCCATCGTTATGAACTCTGTGACATGCTGGACATTGTTGCCACCGGTTCCGACCGTCATGTTAGATTTGATAAATATGTTGTTTACTCGAATGTCGTCTTGATAGACTAGGCTAGACTGTTTCCCTAGGCCAGCAGTTCTTCTACATAAATCGTGAACGGGTTGCCTCATGGGGTCACAGATTTACCTACTTAGAAGCTTCTACTGAGACGTTTAATTTCTTATGTGGTGTGAGCATTTTATCCGAGTGAACAGATGGATCCGAGGAGCGGCGCACACAGCCAGTGGAAAACAAACTTGGCAGATTCTTTTGTTGGGCACCAACTTGCCAATGTTCGTGTGCACTAACGTGAGTTTGTTTTTATGTACTGCACGACAATATCATTCTCGGCGTTCTAAGTGCCAAACATGGGATTTTGGCTGAGTTGACTTTATCGAACAAATGAGTGTCTGTGGACGTCTGGCTTCTGCTACGTTCGACAAACGTTCCATATCTTATTTTTTCTTTCCAAAACTTTATCAACAATATATAGCGGTGCTCTCAACCTAGCCACTGATATGAGAGTGTTTTATTCATCAAATAAGTCTGGTGATCTAAACTTTCCGTGGTGTTTGCGTTTCATATTGAATCTGCTCCATGGACCTCGGCCTGTTGAACCTAATGAATCATCACATTTTTAGAATAAGTCAACCCTTAATAAGTCTTATAAATCCCTACTAGCGCAATGTCTGCTTTGACATTTTGATATGCTGCACGATCATGTTCAGCAAGCAGTCTTGGTATGTTTATGAGCGGAGTCCACTGTTGTCATTTGATCTCAGGAATACATCTGCGTGATCCTTCGTGGTGCTGCTGTAGATTACCCAGTCAAATTTGGAGTACCGGTTTTTAAGAAGATTCATCGCAGCTAGACTAAGACAGACAGCCAACGCACATCAAGGAAAGCGCTACACGACCGTTTCATCATATTGTGGCTCGTCAGTGGTGCACAACCCACCCAATCCTGCCGGATTTCAACCCATTAACGTACTCTTACGAGTCAGCGACTTGTACTACTGATCCATGTGCGACAACGGTGGGCCGCCATGACTGATTTCTAACTGCGATATACCGCGGTGGAGCCGCGGTCATGCGTGTTTTGAGCGTGCAGAGGGTAGGGCTGGCCCCCAGGACTACAACTAACTTCGCAAGATGCTACCAATCGATGGGATTACCGGTATGGGTGCATATATTGTGAACCAGTGGCAACGCTTACTAAGTGTTTGATGAGTTTGACACCGCTTTGACTTTGCTGTTTATCCTGTTCTTCAGTAAATCATTGTATTCCATTTCACTAGCTGATATACACAGACCCAAGGTAGGGTGAGGCCTTCAAATTCGACCGTTGCTGTTGTGATTGGAATATTGCTCTACGCTACTCGCCGCGGATATTTTCTCCCACCTGTTTCTATAACTTATTTTCCATTTGTTTAAGTGAACCATTGTAAGGTCAGCAATGTTGCAATACTCTTGTTCATTTGATTTTGCTCCGCAAAGCTGTACGAAATTTACCTCTAATCAGCTATGACCACAAAATCAAAAATATTTTCCAAAGAATTGTCCCGAAAAATTTGGGGGTAACGGAAAGGCACCGTGCTGGTTGACAAGCTGGACTCAGACGCTGGTCTACCAACAATGCGCAAATTCTGTCTATCCTGTCCAGTACTGTCCCATCGCTTCTCGGGAAAACTGATGATCTTCACAGCCTTTTACAATGAACAGAATTTTTGAACGCAGGTGTAATGATGTTAAAAGAAAGTTGACTACACCTCGACATTTAAGATATAGTCGCGAAACTCATTGGCCATCGACAGAACAGATCCGACCGCCCAGGAAAGCCTCACCACCACGGAGGAGGTGTGATTACGTATACTGGCAAAAATTGGTGTACATCGGTATCACAGCTGTTCGCTTACTCGACGGCTTCAATAACTTATCACCTATTGGATTGTAAACCAAAGTTTCTTAGTGTTTTTCTATCTGTTGTAGTTGGGTACGCTTATATAACGCCTAACCCAGCACTATCAGCGCTTAAAATGCTTACAGATCAATTTGCTTCGGAATTATAATCAAAGTTAGAATGTTCCCTGCGCATCATTGCTGGCGACTTAAATACATGTGACACTGGCTTCATTAAAGTGCTTGGTCCAACCAACTTGGTTGGATTCTTCACCAGGCTTGACGCGCATTTAGATTTAGCTTTTACTCACAAACATAACCCGTTTTCCTCACGACGGGCCCCGCTTGGCAATTCGGACCATTGCATCGTGAAGATATGTCCAAAGACTTAGTGTAAAACTAGTTATATTGCGATGACAATGAGGCTATTCAGAAC